AGCAGTCACCCACAGAACAACTTCAGGATATACCTCCGTACCGTATATCACATACAATATACTCCGTATAGAACGTTTCACTCCGGAATGCGACGTCATAGAGAAACTATCTAGATAATATTAACATTTTAGTGACAATCTATACGATGTAATTGAGTCCCAAATGACCAGATCTGCAATTTTGACTCCCCAATTAATTCCACTAACTTCCACCTCCAGGGCTGGGTTTTCGGTCGAGTAAGAATTACTCTAAAAGAAAAGATTCTTCCATCTTCGAACAGTTGAAGCGGCGATCCCCTCTGGAGATGTTTGCATGCCGTCTCCATCCCGGGAGTGGATCGAATGACGCTAGGAAGAGAAGATTAATTGCAGCAGCCTTATGATATTGAAATTGAAAACAGAATGCATATAGCCTCGGGCCCATAAAACCGCAGATAATCCGCAATGACATAGATAATTGTAACCAGTGTATTACAAGGTTGCGAGAACGGAGAAAATCCTAGATAGTGCATGCACCGATAGCGAAACCAGAATACTACGTGCGATGTTATGTGATATCGAGGCAATGATCTAGGGTTTCTACTCCGTATACTCCGTGCTGTTTAATATTTACCTTGCCCTTAGTACTTTATAGGAACCCGCAAGGATGGGAAACATGCAAGGAGCCGTGCTGGGTAAGAGGCACAGCAAGGTGGTTTAACACGGCGTTGAGAGCCCGAGTGTTTTTGCAAGGTGTAGACTTTAGGGGGCGATTTTTTTGCCTTGCGACTGACGCATAAGATCGGTTACCTGAAAGAAAAGAGAAAAAAAAAAGAAATTAAATGTCACAATATTCCAAGCAATTTAAAATTCCAGAGGAAGTAGATGCCGGGCGCAGAGAGGGCTTGTACCGGAATCCAAGCCCCGCCGTGTAATGATGAAGGAAGGTGTCAGGGTTAACGCGTAATTAATAGAGCCATAAAAACATCCTGGTTGTGATAGTCGAGACTGAGTACGGAATAAGCCGGTTATCTGTTGATTTGAATGGGTCACCATTATACTATAGATGAAGCTACTGTGTACGGAGTACGGAGTAGAGATTAATATAGGAGTGACTACAGCGTAAATTAGTGATCGGCTTCAGCTTTGCTAAGTTAGATCAGCCACTGGGCCCCAACCATTATTAACCAGGGTTAGATTCCAGATTGCGTGGGTTTCTCGTACGGAGCACATTGCCCGCAACTACCAAAGTGTACTGGAAACTTTGGATATTCACTTGTCGCCAATCAAGAGGCAACATTGAAGTGTGGTTCTGCGCAAAGTGCTGCGGAGACGTTCCCAAGTGCCCGTGACTGTGCATAGTAGGATTGGTACGGAGTACGTGATGGAGGTACTTCGGACATAAGGTCGAAGATGTGAGCTCGGATGATTTCCATGATAGGATGGGTTCCGCGTGCATCAAGTCGGCACACAGATGTCAGTAGACGATGCACCTTCGAATTTATGATTCTGCCAACGGGAATATCACCACCATAGCGGTCGCAGTCAACTGCATGCGCCAATGGTCGAGGGTACAACCTGTCCGAGAGTGACCATCGGTGGGATCCTGGCTATAACACAGGGGGGTGATATACTTCCAGACCTAATCCTTTCCGAGGACTTTTTTTGTCATTAAAAAAAGCAATTAAATATATATGAATTTTCCCACTCTTTCTGTACAATAATTTGAAGACCGAAAAAAAGGTCGAGAATAGCCTGACGGTGGCCAGGTGAACTCTGCAGGTAGTACTGTGCCGAGGAATCTCACCCGCGAAAGGCGATGGGTAAAACTTGTGGAGCTGTCGGGAATTGTGCACAAGTCGAAATGAAGTGCCGCAACCGGGATGGCAAGGTCAAGACTTCATTTTAGAAGACTCCAATTTTTTTTCTTTCTATTTACCAAAGAAAAGAGAAGATTACAAACGAATGTAGATCAAGGGGGAGACAAAGCGGCAAAGCTCCGAGTCAAACACCTTTGAAGCTGACTCCCAAGGCCCCAGGGCTTCTCTTTTGGTCTCTGTATGACTGTGACGAGTGAACACACCCTTGACCCAAAATAGTAAAAGACGGGGGTCACTCTAGTAATTCGCCAATCAGGAGTCACCTTTAGTCCAAAGCAACTTTGGAAAAAAATTAAACCATCGACAACAGCATGGATCGTCTAACAAGATGGAGCAGTATGACACAGTGGACTTTTTCCTTGTTCAAATCCACCTTTGTCTGGGGGTTCTAGAAACGAATCTTCCGTGGCGGTGGCTCAGAAAGAAAGTGGAGAGAGAGTAATTTCTTCCTTTCTTTTTTTATTATTTAATTTCGCCTGATCAACTATTTTTTTTTTGACGAAGGTCCACGATTTGGTGAGCCGACACCTGGTTCTCAGCTTGACCGTGGTTTTGCCACCAAAATAGCACACTTGGATCGTCCCTAGTCAACTTTGGAGGTTACCCAAGTTGCCTGGTTTCGGACGTAAACTGGTGGTGTGATAGACCGCAAGTGTCTCTTGTGTGAGAGTCCACCCGATGATCTTTCGGGGATGAAGGTTTCTGAAGATTCAAGTGGTTCAATACGTTGTATACTTTTTGTATGCGTCTAGGGGGAGACGTCTAGAGTCTACTAAATAGATGTATGCTCCGTGCTTACTGTTAAAGAAACATCTGGACAGACTACTTCCATGTCATGGTACCGGGATGTCAATCAACTCGGTAATTATTGTATAAGATACATAGTTTGCGAGTTAGGAGTGTGCACATTTCTGGGCACAATCACGGCTTTTTTTTTTCGAAGGGATGACCGTTGGGGCGCCACGAGTGGCCGATGGATTCCAATTTCACCAGCCGATCTGGGCCCGTTGCACTTTGGGCTTTCTAGCCTACTGCACTGGATCACAAGTGCAACTACATGCCACCTTACGTGAGGCTTGTCCCGTCTAGATAGGTCAAACAGTGGTTTGAGTGAAACAGCCAATTCTTCCCACTGGGGGCCAACAGTCCTGGTGGTAAATGCCACTCTAGACTCGGCTTAACACAGCGGCCTTTGGACCCGACATAAATACCGACAGAGGTACCAGTTGCAAGTACTTTGTACTAAGGTAGGTATGTGGTGACCTGTAGGAGGCAGCAAAATACCTTAGGAAGTCTAGTGCATAAAAGCCGGACGAATTAGACGACAGGATTTGTGCCCTCCGCCGAGGCTCCTGAACTATCAAATTGGTCCATCACTGGGATAGTATTGTAATTATGATGAGATCCCCCCCCCCCCCTGAATCATAAACAGGAAAGTCGTCCGGAACAGTGGGCTGCAGGGGAGACGCGGGATAAGACCAAGACTTCAGAACACGAAAAGACGCGAACATGCCAAATCACTACTTATCTCCGAACCCGTCCATAAATCCATAATATGGGAATGAACCAATGGCTGATTGGCAGCGGCTAACAAGTCGGGGAGTACACGAGCACGGATGTGATAAGAGGGAGCAAGCAGATATGAAAGGCCATGGACCGTGGACCGGTCGTACACGGGATAAATTAACACAAAAAAAGAAAAAGAAAAAGAGAGAAAGAGGAAAGAGAAATTTGGCCCACCTGAGACTTTTAGTGGACCATTCCTACAAATTACGGAGTACTGTGTATACGTGAATACTGTCATATTCTTCTCTCTGATTGGTCAAATTCTGAGTAATTTTGCCTTCTTACATAAGAATGCACCATTCTTACCGAGACTCCCGATCTTCCCTCTCTTTGGTCTTTTTGGTCTTTCTCCTAAACCAGGTAATTGATCTTCCATTCTCTTATTATTGGCTTCTTTTTTTTTTTACTCTTTTTTTTCTTTCCTCTTTTTTTTTTGGTTCATTCCTTTGCCTTTCCCAGTACCTCCGTACTCCGTACTCCGTACTGGTTGTACACCCGACTACCAGCCACCGTGCTCAAACCTCCATGGGCCCCGCGCTTCCCGGCAACCCCCCTTTAGCCCTTTTTTTCTTTCTTTGCAGGACGGAGGCGTACCTACATACATGCTTGCGCACCCTCACAGCCCTTCACCTCGCATAACACGGTTTGGTAATTTATTGACGCTAAAACCAACTTATTATTGGATCTGATATGGGTCTCAGGATTGAACCTCCCTCTCTTTTGATTTCAACTTGATTCCAACTTGATTGGGGTTTTACTTTTCTTTTTAAATATTTTTTTTTCTCCTTTTTTTTTTTGCTTTCACTAGTCCTACGCTATGTCTAGTCAACTTTTTGTCATTTTACTGCAAATGTGAGGCCGGGACCAGGTAAACATTCTGTGACCTACCCTTTTTAGTTGCATCCACTTGTTGACCACCCCGTGGCTCTGACATCAACCGGTATTTCCACTTGATTATTTTGTTACCTTGTTACCTTGTTACTTTATTGGATTATTATTTTCCAAATCTAGATTGACCAAACCCGGAACCCAAACGAGCCCAGAAAGGAGGATCAACCTGGACCTGCGTCCGGGTCAAACTCTGTGTATGGCCACTATTCGCTTTCTCCGGATGGGGTCTGTGGACTTGGTTAATGGAGATGATGCCTTGACTACAAATTTATTATTTTATTTTTGATTATTTTTCGATTTTCTTGTATTTTTTTTTTACTTTCCTCATCTCTAAGTGGAGTAGCCGGATCTCTCTGGTTTATCGCTGCTTTCCTTATATGGGCCTATCGTGGCTACTCTATATACATCATTGAGACTCCCTGTGAAAGGTCTATATTCACTTTTCCCTCACTTTGAATAAAACATCTCTGTTCGCCCTTTCCTCCTTGATTGCATTCCAATTGGGCAGGAAACTCATCACTTATTGTCTATTGCTTGGCTCTATTTGCACCTTTAATACAGAACATGGGTCACTGAAACTCCTCGGTTCTCTCCGCCGACGCCTTTATTTGCTTTGATCAAAAAAAAAAAAAAAAAATAAAACTCCATGTGTCGACCTCTCTGTTCACCACTCACTCTTTCCCTATGTCTTCCACTGTGGACTTCCATTCCTCCTTTTCGACACTGGGAGTTCCAACCATCGACCTGACTGAGGATCACCCGTTGAAGGCCCTTGAAAGCCAAACCTCGGGATCCTCTCGGACTGTTCCTATTCGGAACGGTCTACCAACCCCTCCTCACGATATGACCGGCGTCACCTACAATGCCATGCCACCTATCGTATATGGGGGGAAAACGAACGGGGTGCCCTCTCACCTTTACGGCCATTCTCGCCCCCAATTCGATTCCATTTCCTCCTCGATGATGGCCATGAAACCGCAAAGCCACACTGCGACTAAAGTAGCCCCTGCAACGGAACCAACTGCTCAGAAGAAGTCAACGGGTGGAACTGGATCGCAACTCCGCATTCCTTCATCTATCAACAACAGCAAGGGTAATCTGGCCGAGTTTGCAGCTCAGGTGAGAAATCCCGGGTCTACAGAAGTGATGCCACTGAGCTAACGTCTTTGTTTCATTTATAGATGACCTGTCTATTCTGGTTCGAAAAGACCTCGAAATTGCAAGCCATCGAAGACCGCCAACATCCCGTTCCTTCCCTGGTCGCCGAGGCCGCACCCACCGTCGGATTTCAGAAATGGGTTGCCACAATCCTCTCCACAACGCAAGTCAGCCAGAACGTCATTCTACTGGCCCTTCTCTTTATCTACCGCCTGAAGAAGTTCAACTCTGGGGTCAAGGGCAAGAAAGGCAGCGAATTCCGGTTGATGACGGTTGCGTTGATGCTCGGCAATAAATGTGAGTGTTCTTATCGGGTTCACCGCCCTTAACCTGATTGGACGAAGTAGCTGACTCATCTACAGACCTCGACGATAACACTTACACCAATAAGACGTGGGCTGAGGTATCGGGTATTGCGGTGCACGAGATTCACATTATGGAGGTCGAGTTTTTGAGCAACATTCGTTATGATCTGTTCTCCTCCGAGGCCGAATGGTCCCGGTGGCACACCAAGCTGGGACTCTTCGGGGACTACTTCAACCAGGCATCGATGCTACCCGTCGAGTCAGCCGCCATGCTCCGTGTTTCGCCTCCCCGCGTGCAATCGCTGTCGCCATTATCAAAGTTGCCGTCGCCTGGCACCGATGCCTTCCGACCCCAGTCACAGCCCAATTGGTATATGCCACCTAATGGATTGTCATACTCGCTGCCGCCACAACACATGGGCGGCGAGGCTGCGATGGGAGGCTCTCGGAAACGAAGCCGCGACGAGAACGATGAGCTTCACCCGACCAAGCGGCTTGCGCTGTCTTCCGCCACATCTGCTCCTTCGATGACGGACCCGGTGACTGCCATGAATGCGATGCCCACCCTGCCACCCGTCTTGACTCCCACTTCTGTCCCGGTGGCACCGATGAACGTTGCTCGTCTTCCACCTCCTCACCATCCGCCTCCCCTCCCAACCTCCTACCCCGCGCCTCAAACGCTCCCTCCCACAGCACCTTCCCACCTTCCAGCTATTATGCCTCCTATCTACAATCGGCCGGCGAACTGGCAGCAGATGCCTCCTCTCTCCGTGCCCCCGATGTCATCTAGCATGTACACCACCCCTTCACTGCCAGAACTAGGCCGGCACCACCAGAGTCCATTCGGCGTGTCTTCTGCCACCGTCTCGCCGGCTGGTTCAGCCTATTCCGTCCACACCCCGCAGACACACCTCTCTCCTTCCTTCTTCCTCGCCAACCGCAACTCGCCTTACCGGCCAGTGCGTTCCGTCAACACCTTGCTGATTCCACCTCCGTCAAGCTCTCTACAGCAGCAGCGCAATGTTCCGTTTGACCATATGCACTACCAGCCGCTTGGAAAGGGTCACACTTCTCGCAAGACCGGCCTGCTGCCCTACATCCAGCCTGACGCGTGGAACCAAGCTCCTTACCTACACCCTATCTACCCACCCACCGATTACTCCGGTTGAAGCATTCTGTGCCCCTGTTTTTACCACTCTCATCTCCTAAGTTTATGACTTCACCGCGCTACGACCCGTCACACGAGAAAAAATTATCTCATTCGCTGTACACCTTACTATCCCTTTCTATTGCTTGTCTTCCTTTTTCAACTGCACAGACTTCCTTATTTTCACGATTGTATCTGGCATATTTTCGGCGCTCCATTTTAGAAGGAAATCGGTTTTCGCCTCCCTGCAGACGAGATTAACCTCGGGGATGGCATCTGCGGCGTTATTCTTGACTGCAATTTCGCCCTTTTCCGTCGAATGTGCCTTGAAACACATCGGCAGTGTACTGCTCCTCTCGCATTTTGCATACATACGGCGTTTTACTCTGGCAGCCTTAGCTTTAGCTCTGCAGCATATGAATCTAGATTTACGAACTGGTATATTTTTCCTTGTAACCTTGATTGTATAATATTATTAGTGTTGTAATGAGGTAGCCATATACATAAACCAAAGGTTCGAGTTGAAGATATACAGTGACCCAGTTGTCCGACTGTCCGAATCCACACCGATACATGTAAATATATTTAAAAAAATGGAAAATAACAAACCCATATTTGATTCCTTCATCAAAATAGCGAATATCCTTGAAAAAAAAAAATGTACGAATGAGCAACACAGCCCTTGGTGCCCAGGTCAACCTTTGTACCATACTGTACATACATAGTTAGGGCCATCCCGGAGTCGGACCAAACATAACCCGCCCCGACAGAGATCTCGAAACTCACCACCAAACCTGCGAATCCAACACCAGCAAGCCTATAACCACAATCACACACCATGTCTCCCCGGCTGATGGGGCTGCCCAAACAGCTGGCACAATTTTCCGCCCGGCCCTTCCAACATGCCTCCCCACTCGCCTTCCTCCTCCCACAATCCCAGCAAACCCGCAACGCTTCCATCCTAGCCTCCCTCTCCGACAACCCGACTGCCTACAACAAGCGCATCCGTCGAGGCCGCGGTCCCGCCTCAGGCAAGGGTAAGACCTCCGGTCGCGGTCACAAGGGTCAAGGTCAGCACGGCAAAGTCCCAGCGGGCTTCAATGGTGGCCAGACAAAGGATATTATTGTACACGGCGAGCGCGGCGGCGTCAACATGTAAGTCGTCCTCCCCTTCTCAAAAACACCCCAACCCCCAAATGTACATCTCTAATCAATTCCTCTTCGGATCCAGCTTCTCCGTCGATATGGCAACCGTCAACCTCGACCGTCTCCAATACTGGATCGACCAAGGCCGCATCAACCCCAAACACCCGATCACAATGAAAGAGCTCTACAAGAGCGGGTGCATCAGCCGACCCATCGACGGCCTCAAGATCCTCGGCGACGGCGCGCAAGACCTGAAACAACCAATCCACGTCGTTGCCTCGCGCGTCTCCGCCTCCGCCATCGCGGCCATCGAAGGCGCCGGCGGCTCAGTGACTACCCGCTACTACACGCGGCCGTCGATCCGCCGTATCCTGGACGGCGAGACACACAGCTTCCTGTCTGCTGCGTGGGCGCGCGCTAGTGGCTCCGAGCAGCTTTACAAACTCGCCGGCGTTCGGCCTACGGCGGCTTGGATGAAGTGGACTACTGTGGTCAACAACCGGCAAATGAAGTACCGGCTGCCGGATCCGACGAAGCGTAAAGATATTGAGTATTACCGTGATCCTGCGCATCGGGGATATCTTTCGCATCTGCTTAAGCCGCTTGAGGGACCTAGTTTGTTCTTCCGCTCTTCCGAGGAGAGGAAGTCTACTGCTGGTGTTAAGAAGGAGAAGCTTCTGCCTGAGAATAGGCTTTGGTAGATTTGAATGGTTTGGGGAGAATCTCATACTTGATCCCCATTTGTTGGTTTGTTCGTTTGTTCGGCATTGTTTTTTATGGCTGGTTTAGACTGGTCTGCTGTATATGTATAAATATGTTCTGTTGGATATGTTAGGCTTTGCAAATTAGATGCTTCTCGGCCTTTTTTCTTCTTTTCTATTCTCCTAAGAGATCTTTCATTCTGCGGAATAGCCTATAAGCATCTCGAGGTTTACGCATTAAATACATCCCTGGTTATAGATGGAAAAGTCGTCTGTTCGTTTTATATTTTGTACCGCCTTCAGGGATTCTACCATCGAACGTGACTATGTAGTCCGTACCTTCAAATATAACATCGAGAAAAAAAAAATGGATGACTCCCCTCTTTCTTTAGCTACTCTGTTGAAGAATAGACATAATTAGTTACGAAATACAGAATATGTGCGGTGATCTAAATGTACGTCCGTTTGATGTCCTCCTACATACTAACCAGGTTTCTTCTATAGAATAGCTAAAACGGGGGAAAGATAGAAAAAGCAGATCCAAAGAAAATATCCGAGCGTTATCTTAAATACAAAGACGTCCCTAGTATTATCTAAGCCAGATATATCAGATTGTTGAAGTCCTTCATCGTCAAGGAGAGAGGCCGCATGAGCGGCCGACCATTCTTGTGAATTGCTGAACGGAATACATAGCTTAATTTTTGTGCCGTACTCAGGACAGGCCAGCCACCCGGACAGATATCTCGCCAAATTGAGTAGAGAAACGAAGCCAGATCAGTAAAGAGGAATCAAAGATCCGCAGATATAAAAGTACACCAGTAGAAGCAAATGATCAAGCTAAGTTGACCACACAAAACAAAGAACCGAAGTGACGAATGCTCATGCAACGTCCGACCAGATGGCAATAATAAGATGAAACGCCACGCTTGCTATAAAAATAAATCATAATCGTCCGTCTCGTGATGCCAAAGCCTAAGCCAGAACCAAACCCAATCCAAAAGAAAAAAGCAAAAATCAAGAATGCGCTGTGAGGGGGGATATTGAGAATAGATTGCGGAAAAGCGCAAAAAGAAGCGCAAAAAGAAAAGGCACAAGCTGGCAGTCTTGAGCCGAAGCAAGCCAAAGAAAGCAATAAAATAGAACAAAACAAAATGGAGGGATATCATAGTGATTTCAAAGGGCCCCGAGAGCATCGGCGCTTGTTGAGTCTTCAGCGCCGGAAAAGAGAGCCATCACATCGTGGGTGTAACGTTAAAACAATCTCATCTGTCCTGGGGTGCGAGTGCAAGGGCAAGATACAGGATTGCTAATCACCGAATGGAAGAAAAGATGAGCAAAGCTCAAAGTCTCCACACAGTATCGGGTGAGGGTTCAGCTGTCTCATGAACCTCTCGTAGCCAGGACGAAGCTAGTACATGGCGGATAGTCCAACGCTTGCTGGGGTCCATTTCGAGGCAGCCGCGGATCAAGTCGAGGGCATACTGGCGATCTTGGCGAAGGTGGCCGTCCACAGTGTCACCGAATACGGCATTACAATCCCAGGTGCCGCTGAGAATATTTGCTTGGATGCGAGGAGCGAAAGAGTCTTGGAAAGGCCGTGAGCCCACAATCACGCTATAGACGATAACGCCAAAGGCCCAGATGTCGACTGAAGGGTCAATGAGACCGTCTATTGATTGAAGCAGCTCGGGCGATGCGTATTCCAGACTACCCGCCACACTAGTACTGGATCCGGCAGGGCCCATTTGTTGAGGCGGCGGACGGTCAGCGGCATCCTCGTAGGGATCGGGAGAGTCGCCACCGGTGTCAATGGACATCCACTCCGCCATTCCGAAATCACACAGTACCAAGGTCGAAGATGTCGTGCCGTCAGCAGACTCAATAGGATCGAGCAAGCAGTTCTCTAGCTTGATGTCTCGGTGAACCACACGGGCGTCTTCGTGCAGGTAACGGATTGCACAGGCTAGTTGGTATGCATATTTCTTTGCTAATTGCGTATCTAGACCGGATCGATTTTGGCGGACTAGGTCGAAGAGAGTGCCACCAATAGCAAGTTTGGTGAAGCAAAACGTGGCGTAATCTGTTTCGTACACGGCATCGAGCGTCAATACATGTGGGTGGCTGAGGTACCGCCAAACTCGCACTTCGTGGTCGAACTCGGCTTGCACTTCGTCGTTTTCGTGCTCGCTTCGCCCTGTAATCTGCTTTTTCACGATCTTCACGGCAAGTCTTTTGGTTTCACCGTGCTTTTCGGCCTTATAGGCCTCTTTCACCGCACTGAAACCCCCAAATCCGATTTGCTTCCCGAGAACATAGTCGTCTCCAACCATCTGGCCTTCGTCATCAGGCTGGGGAGCAGGCTCTTCAAGGGTGTTCCACATGGAAAGAAACATACTGGCGGGCGACTTTCCACTCGAGTTAGTCGATCGTCTAGAACTTTGACGGGTGGAGATCCGAAGACTGCCGCTGCGATCGAGGGTAGAGCTGCGCTTGCTTCCGAAGGGTGTCGCGATCCCTCCTGACCAAGAGTTGCTGCGGTTTTCAGGCGATGCAAATGATCGAGTTGGCGACGGCACGCTTGGCGACGGTACGCAAACTGGCGACAACAACGTGTGGCTGGAGTAATCGGGAGGGGTTCGTACCTCGTCCGTGACCGGTGATACCGTCGACTGCGATGTCAGGGACGTCGGACGATCGAGCTCTGAGCCCGCGGTCGAGCCATTCTCAGATCTTGCAAAGGGCTGGGCTCGGGATTCCCCGGTCGGGAAACTCCGATCCAGAGATCGTTTGGGACTCCAGTTCGGGGACTGGTGGTTCGGTTCAACATGTTCATCATCTTGTGAAAGGGCATTCCGAAGTCCAGAGCTACGAGACTCAAATTTCTGTGGTGGACGGCTCTTCACATCTCCCATCGACAGTGGCTCTTCCAGTGGAATTTGGTTGCCGGAGTCCACAGAGACCGTCGGGTTGAAAGAGATCGAGGGTCGACGAGTTTGCAGATAGCTGTCGAGAGGGGACCCTTGCACGTCATCGGGCTTGTGTGGGAAGTTTTCGGCATCGTCTGCGTGATGCTGCTCGTTGTGGCGAGGGACGGAGATGGGAGGGGTCGCTGAGTGTAGATCACTTAACAAACTGCGGTCTTCATCAGTATCGTGGCGACGCGCATAATCATGAGATTGATTGGTGTGATCGCTCTCGATACCATCGCCCACTGTTGTCGCTTTCCTCCCAGCATTCTCATATGCCCACTTGGGCTTGTTCCGCTCATGAAAGTTTGTTTCAATCCTTAAACCTGCCAATCCACTTGCCAATCCGGCCCTCTCGCTATGTGCCATGCCCTAACAAGGAACACGAAGCGGAAATTTTCGTATTGTCAGCCTGTGATAGGCTTGCAGTAGGGTTATATAACCCTCTGCTTGGCTGTTTTGTTTCGGTATGCTTTGCGATGTTGAAGATGATTGTGATTGTGGGGTGATAGCGTCAAAAGTGGGGAAAGAACGTTTGAGATAGTGGTGATGTAAAGGAAGCCGTGATTGAGGAGGTTTTGAACCTTAAGATGCAAATAATAAAAATCGACATGAAACACGGTGGGTACAAACAAAGGTAGTAAGAGAGAAACTGAAAGTGAGGTATTCGTCAAGTAGTTCGGTCACTGAGAGGGGAAGGATAGCCGGGGAAACTCGGGTGATGACGATAATAACAAGTCACCTGATTAGCAGGTCACCTGACTAAAGGGCAGCCCTGGCCCTAATTCCCCTCGATGGTCAGAAATACAGCGGGAAATAGGCGCATGTAGGGTAATTATTATTACATATTGTCTTACTTCGATCTCCACAGTGTTTTGTAGTCTGTATAGAGTGCCGAAGAGATATTATTATTTATATTTAAACTGCCTGGAAAAAACCCCAAATATATATATACATAATAGCATAGTAAACATACAAAGGCCAATATACCATAGAAGCTCTGGCCAGTCGGCCATTATTGCGTGCCCGCATATCCATGGGTTCAGGGGTCAAGTCGTGGGTTTAACCGCGCGCAAGGGGCGCTTGTTTGGGAATACCTCCTTTTGGCTTTTGGAGATGTGAAAGGAGTTACTATTCAGACTCGACGTCGCCTTGGCAGACATCTCTTTGTTCCTTTTGTTTCTCCTTTTCTTTTTCTCCTTGTCGCTCTGGCAGTTATTTCTTTCTCCTTGTGTCGACCGTGCTGGACCGAAGTGCACACCAGCCCCCACTATTCTCATTCAAGGCACTGTCTCTCATTCAGACCAATTCGTCAAGTGCTCGCGACCCCGGTCGACTTTTTTTTTACTGTCTAGTATTCGTGTATTACTTGGTTACAGGAAATTTGGAGGCTCGCGCATTGCTTTTGTCCCGCGCTTGTCTTCAAACTTCCATACTCCTGGATCGCTAGTCACTCCTTGCGCTCACGACTTGTTTCAATCCAATTGCTCTTGATACCACACTCCTTTACACTGCAACATGACTAGGCCTCAGATGATCCGAGCTGGTAGGTCAAATATTTATGGGGCGCGAGGCCAATTGACTCGAAGTTGAAGGTGTTGACCGCCACCTCTAGATACCTTGGACCTTCAAGATCACGATACCCCTTCCGCCAAAGATCACACCAAACAACCCGAACATCCAGATCCTCTTGGGAGCGGCCGGCCTGCTCCCCATCAAGAACTTTCTATTCGCCATGCCGAACAAGATTCGCAAGCGGAGATAAACGGCGGACCGGGCAAAAATCACGAATACCGCGGTGACAAGGAGATGTACCGAGAACGAGATGACGAGGAAGACGATGAGGATGAAAATCACTACGACCATGAAGATGGTGACCTGGCGGACGGCGAAAGCGATGATATGATGGACGATGATATGGACAAAATCTCCAGTTCGCCCTCTATCGATGATGGTACGGACTCTTGGGGGTTATAGGCATTAATCGGGCATCAGCTGATGTTATACAGAGGATATCGATTTTGAGTTTGTATATGCGCTTCACAACTTCGTCGCTACGGTAGATGGGCAAGCAAATGCCGCAAAGGGTGATACTATGGTTCTTCTCGACGACAGCAACAGCTACTGGTGGCTTGTGCGCGTGGTGAAGGATGGCAGCATTGGTTACCTCCCTGCGGAACATATCGAAACACCAACCGAAAGGCTTGCCAGATTGAATAAACACAGAAACGTGGATCTGTCTGCGACCATGTTGGGCGACAATAACGAAAAGTCGAAGAATCCTCTGAAAAAGGCCATGCGCCGTCGGAATGCGAAGACCGTCAACTTCGGGGCCCCAACGTACATCGACGCCTCCGACGTCGACTACTCAACGGACGATGATTCCGAACACGGCGACTTTTTCAACGATGACGAGACTCTGGACGGAGAAGAGGAAGACGTGCAAGAGCAAGCTGAAGATATTGTCGTGGAACCTCTTAGGCCCAAAGCCCAGAAAGAAAACTCCGCAGAGCATGCCGATGCCAACGGTGCAGAGAAGCAAGATTTGCAGCGTTCAAGCTCTGATCGACGCCCATCTAGTGAAGAGTTCTTTGAGGCCGAAGGTAAACACACTCAACTCAACTGCTCTCGGATCGTATTTGGAACTCACTTTTACAAAGCAGAACCCACCGTCAGTAGATCCAGAAATGGCACTGTACGGAATACCGATTCCTTCTTCAAAGACGACACGGCCGAGCCCAAGAAGATTTCTCTCACACCAAATCTCCTGCGCGATATTCGCGATGAAAACGGCACAAACACCTTGGCTGAATGGAAAGAGGTATGTTTTCCATCGTGAGTTTATCCAAAGATCAGTTGGCTGACGTTTTGGTGCAGCCTCGTGGAAGCTTTGAATCCATCGAAAAGGGCTCTAACTCGCAAGACAAAATCAAAGAGAAAGAGGAGAAGAAGCGAAAAGACAAGAAACCTGGAATGCTCAGCGGGTTATTCAAACGCAAGAAGAGCAAAGATGACATTGACGACCCAGAGAGGTCTCCTGCAGAGTCAGCATTCCGCACATCACCCCAACCCAAGACCTCGATGGAGTCCATCTCATCGAAGTCTGTGTCCCCTGAACAACAGCGGCCCTCTAAGCCCCAGAAAAACTCGAACAACAAGCTACACAAGCAGCCCCCAGGAATCATGAAGGTTGATCCAGTCCTTGACCCTACGATGGCCGAGTTCGCTAGGGGCAACGAGGCCATTAACCAGAGTCAGGGCAGCAAGAGCATTCGACAGGTGCCGCTGCAAGAAGAAAGAGAAAGCAGCTACGAAGACTGTGGAATTGTGTTACAATCACCTATTAGCCAATCGAGTCCTTCCAAGGACCCTTTCGCTACTCCGCTCGAATCCATGGACCCCCTGGAGTCGCCTGTTGATCGACCATCTAGTGAAGCTCAATGGAGAGGACCCAATGATCCAGGCCGCACAACGGCTGGACCCTCGTCCGTTACATCTCCACCCCAGAAATCCGTCCCCACGCTGGTGGCTGGAGATGAGTCGGAGTCCCCTGTCAATATTTCTCCCGTGGAGGCTTATTCCCCTATGAGCGCACGCGGCTCAACGAATAATGCCTCTCCTCGAGAAGTACGCTCTCTCTCACCACCGTCTCCACCATCATCACCCGGACAGGACGTTAATTACCTCAAGGGTATCACGGCTGCTCCTGCCTCAGTGGGCACCCTTTCTGTGGACACCCCGACGTGGAGCGACTCCAGTCTACGATCATACATGGATGAAGAAAACGACATTCGCGACTTGTTTATTATTGTCCACGACAAATCAAATGTACCTCCCGCTGGCCCTGACCACCCCATCACCGGTCGCCTATTCAAGGAGGAAAGCAAGAGACTCAAGGAGATGAACAATCAGCTTGACGACATGCTTGTGAACTGGATGTCACAGCGGACTAACAGTTCGACCTCGACTCGTGGCATTCAGAGTCCACCAGTGTAATCAAGTGTGTATGAATCTTTTGAAACCAAAGCCATGTGTTGATAGGCGGTCCGCCTTGCATGGCGATGAAGGCCAGGATGTTTTTGAATGTGCTGGGCGCATCACTTTTGGCCGGTCCTTTCTTCACTTTTTTTCCTTTCCGTGTTGTATCTTGATGCCACTGCTTGCAAATTCTTGTTCTGCATTTTCCCATCGCCCCAGGGAGCGATGTGACCCTGAACGTCTTAACGGCCAGCTCTATTTACACCATGCTTTCCATCTTCTTCGATTTTCACTGGAATACCCCGACTCATCCGTGTTCATTTTTTTTCCTTTCACATCTTGTCATTCAAGGTTAATGGACTGTATCTCAATACAATATCAGTTGCCGAACATATTTTCCTAGAAAAAATAAAGAAATATTAGCAGACACACCCCCTCAAATGTACATATGTATGCAAAGAAGCAAGTGATCAGTATAGGTGCATTCCGAACCTTAGAAGTTACTGCGGAAGATCGAGGGTCGTGCGCGCAGGTCAGCCGCACCATGATGTATAGGGCCCCCACAAGTCATCTGTCTGACATACGTAAGTACATAAAATCCATTTCGTGTTCCTATTCTTGATGTGACAGGATTTCCTTGACGTAGTCGCATCACCATGGCAGACCCATACAACGCTTACAACTCACACTCAACTACGCCGGGCGGGGTTGGCTACTATCCCCCAGAGGATCAGCCTCAGTACCCGGCATATGGCCACCAGGAGCCATACGCAAACCAAGAGCCATACCATAACCCCGGATCAGAGCAATACAACCCCGGATCAGAGCAATACAACCCCGGACCGGAGCCTTACCAGCCTAGTCTAAACACAAGCCAGGCCTATGCTCCACAGCAAAGTTCATACCACCTTGCGCCCGAGCCATATGGATCCTCCACGGAGAGAAGCTATACGCCGGCAGGGCAGCCAGACTACCTCGGGCCAGTGACTCCGACAGGATATCAGCATGCGCAAGACAGAATCCCCGGGAACGCAGGATACTAGTAAGTGGGGGATACATGCCCAGCTGTGAGAACCAACACTAACACTGAGCCCTAGCAACGACCATCCCGCCGACCAACCACGGTACACACCCTCCGCAAGTCCCCACCCTCCCGCCGTCCATGTATCAGAGCCAGAAGATTCACAGCGCAGTGGCGAACAGCGCTCCGATACAGACACCGACACTAACCGGGGTATGGACCGTGGGCTCGGGGGTTCGCTCGCTGGCGGCGTGGCGGGCTATTACCTCGGTCATAAGAAGGAACATGGCTTGCTGGGTGCGATTGGTGGTGCCCTACTTGGGAACTTCATAGAGGACAAAGTGAAGGATCACAAGAGACATGACGATGATAGTGAACATGAGCATGGACATGATCACAGTGATCATCATCGCCGTCACCGCCACCATCACCACCACCACCATGATCATCGGAGCCATTCGGGGCACAGTAGTCATAGCAGACATAGCGGTCATAGCGGGCACTCTCATAGTTCTCATCACACCAGCCATTCGAGGCACCGCCATGAGGATGAATACTGAGCGGATCTCGACTTCGGACAGTGTTCTTTTGCCTACGGTTTCTTCTGTTCCCCTCTTTCTTTTATCGTGCTGCAATTCTAGCCTTTGCCATGGAATATAGGTTGTGTGCTTCCGGGTTACATGCTTCCCTTTGTTTGAGACTTGGTATCAGTTTAGAGACAGCATTCTTATCTTGATGGATTTCTTTTGATGATTTTCTTTTTGTCTCGAGGAGTCTCTGGTTGATGGGCACCTTGTATACTTTCCCACGAAGACTCCATTTCGACAATTACGAATGGATCCAGACTTTCCTGATAGTTGACTATCTTTTACTGAATTTGATGATTATGCGTAATGAGGGAATGAACATTTGATTATGTTCACTTGCAAACGAAATACCTAGGGCGATTAAACCATATTCCAGTCTTCATGGTTACGACCTTATAATCTTACCGGTCAGCTGGAGGTGATGAGAGTTTCGATTCACGGTCACTTGGTTCAATATGTATATCTAGGAGGTTCCTTGAACTCGACGTGATAACCTGTAGATGTCCCTTGATCTCTTAGGCGTACGACACAGTTCTCCCATATAGTATCGTCTACACCAGCCTCATACCCTGTCCCTTTTAATGCTGGATTTGCTCTCTTCTCTTTCGTTTGGTGGTATCTTTTCTGGTGGTGAGAACAGTCATAGGCGTGCCAGAGAGTCCACGTCTTTAATCTTCATCCAATTCCTCAGTCTCGGGTGCGGAGACACGCCGAGAGACTGGTTTCCGGGGCTGCTGGCGTGGAGGCATTTGGCGACTTCAATCCTCAGATTGAGTAACTTCTTACGCCTGTGTTCAACCGGTAGTAAGGACCCCAGTTACTCGGCTTTCGCGGCTTCGGGTTGAACTTATCTAGATACTCAGCCACTTTCTCGAGTAATTCTATAGCCTTCCGAATCTTTGCCTTTACTTGGTCCCTGTTTGGCGCAGAGTTATTGTGTGCGCTCAATGGGCGTTGTAGGTCGGGCCCGCTATGAAGGACGATGAGCAATAATTCCGTAAGGCCAGTTGCGGCCAACCTGTATCTCGATTCCATCGCGAGCAAGCACGCGATTTTCCTTGACTCCTACCATTCCAGGGGTAGCAGGAGGATGGGCAGCCTCAAGGGAAATTATTCACTGATCCAGTTCTTTCTCTTGAACAGGATCAAGAATTTTGCCAGAAACGGTGGGAGGACCGGGGCTGAGGATTCGTCTGCAAAGCAGCTGGTACGGAATGTCAATTCCCGGGCCAATACTGCGGTTTTTTTGCTTTGTCACGCTAATGGTATGCCTTCACGGCATTTCCAATGCAACTTGTCTCTCAATGGAGAATTTAACCATGGTGGTGAGGGAGGAGGTTAAAATGGAGAAAAGTATTCGACAATATAGACAGCCCTGTAGGATAATGTCTGCTGGCTGGGGCATTTCCTATCTGAGCTGCCGCCACCTTTATGAGGGCGCTCAGGCTCAGGATCACTGAGTAGTTGTTAGCACGGACTCAGACTCATCCTCGGTGTAGTCACATCAATGATGACTAGTTCACTGCATGCTCACCTGGGTAGTGCGTGATCAGTGAGTGCTTAGTGCGTGCTCCCGAGCTTTGAGAACTCACACCAGGGGAACTTGCCTGCCTCTTAGTAGGGTGCGTTGGTCAATGCTTAGGGTTGCCCTCCCGGGCTGCCCCCGGGGCCCTAGTTTTCCCTTATATAAACACGGGTTTGTCTTGAAATGTAATTACCTAGTTATATCCATGGATGGTATCTTTAATTGGATCATCCCTTTTTGGTACCTAGGTAGTTTCAAACAACACCACAACGCTAATTGACGGTAAATAGGCTGTCGAAAATGGCTACACTGGACCTCGATTTACCTAAGCTCCCTTCTTACTAACTAGTTAGTTAACTAAAACTTTTGTCATCACAGCATCACGTGTGCTTAAATATCCATGGATACTATTGATCACTGCATGTGAGCACCTGGGCACTCAGGACTGCTTAGTTATCAGCTCAGCTCACCCTTCGCTTACCTACATCCATGGATAGGTAAGTATCCATGGATGCTCAGGGCAAAGGTGTGCTTAGTGTCCTAAAGCGTGCCAACGCGGGGCGCGAGCGAAAGTACCCCTCGCGCGCCACAAAGCATTTCGCTGGTTCGAATGCATTGAATCTTGATTCTATTAATCCTCGACTTCGCAGCATCAACACAGTCTAGAATATGTCCCACTATTCCTTTTCTGTTGAAAGGTCGGTACAAGGATGGTCTCTAGGCAACGAATGTGTTGCTATGAATCATGGTCAGTGCTATATTTTCCCAGCCGAACTGTTTGGCCTAAATGTGGCTTCTCTTCTTTCGGGATATCTTCGGACCAAAAAACATCACCTAGAGGGCAAGGGTAAATTAGCAAAGGTAAATTATTCCACAAACACTCGTAGAACCGCAGACAGTTTCGTGGTTCACTAAACACTGTAATTTGACAACACTTTGTCCAGACCTAGAAATAGATTCAAGACATACTATGGCGAAAATATCGCTACTCGAGGCATACTGATCTAGAAGGATAGTAGGGAAGACTTAGGGGGTGGTAGGGTATTAGGAAATGCACGGCCCTCAGGTTGGGTAGGAGCCAGGATGAAGTCGAACCCCTACACGGGAAGAAGAAGGACCTATCATGCGCACTCTGCCAGGTCCCGTGGAGCTCTACAGCAAGATAAATACAGGGACCCCCTTAACGGTAGACCATGGCACAATTCACTTTACATATGTCCAGATCAAGGTGCTCTTGGAGGTCGGCCTAAAGGAAACGAGCCACGCACTTGTCTACGGCCATTTGCCATCGCAACATGGCTGAACCGCTCTCTATTGTGACGGGAGCAGTGGCGCTAGTCACTGCTGCCATTGGGACCTCGCAGTCCTTGATTAAGGGCTACTCGTACTGGAGCGAATGGGACAAAAATGCAACTGAGACGAAAAAGACGTTCGAACTCCACCTAGCCGTTTTCCAGCAGTTTGCTTCTTTCTTGGAGTCGCGGAAATTCCAACCCAAAGAGGATGACTTAGTAAATCTCATGTCCGACGCCGTTAAAAGAAGTCAACACACCCTCGGTGAGCTTCAGAAAAAACTAAATACAATGATGAAGGTCTGCGACAGCGACACCAAAGAATCTGTCAGAGCTACCGTGCGCCGATATGCCTCTCGATTTGTTTTTCAACTCGGCCCCAAGACTTGGTCAAACCTCTTGGATGACGTGGAGAGAAAATATGTGCCTCTAAAGCAAGCGCTTGACGTTCTAAGTTACAATCTTCAAGGGCTACACTACAGCAGCAGCCAGGAGGCTAAGTTACGTGATTTGTTTGGAACTCCTGACTTTGATTCTATTTACATCACTGCGCGGAGCAAACACCATGGACAAACAGGACAGTGGTTTATCAATGACAAGCTCTTTGTTCGTTGGCTAGAGAAGGGCCCTTCCTTTCTTTGGGCACGTGGATTTATAGGATGTGGCAAGACACACATGTGTGCTACTGCTATTGATCATTTGCAAAATCATCACCTGCGACAGAGCAAGTACCATGAGCTCAAGACAGGAGTTGCCTTTTTCTTCTTCTTCAATCAATCACCGCAGCAGGATGACTGTGGTATGCTACGCTCTCTACTGTGGCAACTCTCTGACAAGTTGAATGATGGACACACCCAGCTTACAGAGCTTTATGCTTCGAAGCAAAATCTAACAAGGGATGTGCTCGGCAATTGTCTTCATGCCATTATGGAAGAATTTTCGAAAATCTTCATTCTGATCGATGGTTTGGATGAAATCACTGCCGAGGAAACGACAGGCGTACTATCTACCATCGAAATGATTCGGAAGTGGAACCTACCTTGTCTTCACCTTCTAGTCACAAGTCGTGATTTCTTGAACATTCGTAATTCATTGAAGCCTCGGCAAGATGAGGTAGTGATCATGAAAAATGCTGCAATTCAGCAGGACATTGCGAACTATATTGGGCACCGACTTGAAACCCATCCGATCCTCAAGAAATACAAAGAACGCCACGGTGAGATTCAGGATCTCATTTCAGAACGTGCCCAAAGCGCGTAAGTACTACTGGGGCATTAAGTTTGAAGACTACTAAGCCATCTTGTCTCTAGATTTAAGTATGCTGACTGCTTGTTTGATCATATTGGTCAGGCTGCAAGTTTATCTCAATTAAACACATTGCTTTCCTCGTTGCCTGGCTCTCTAGATGATGCATACGAGGGTATTCTGAGCAAAATTCCCAAGGCAGGAGCGAATGATGCAGGGCGTATCTTGAGGATTCTTTGCCTCTCAAATCGACCCCTGACTGTGAATGAGCTGACTCACGCACTTGCAGTGGATCTTGGTCAAAATCCACGTCTTAATATTGAGCAGCGACTAGTAGACATTGATACTATCCACTTCATGTTTGGCTGTTTGGTCGAACTTACCTGGAAAAAAGGTCTATTCGCTCAAGGGTATATTATAATCCAAGTAGCTCACCTCTCTGTGCGAGAGTACCTGGAGTCAGAAAAAATCCGCCGGCAACCAAAGGTATCTATGTTTGCGATAGAGCATAATTCTGCGCATATGGAGATTGCGCAAACATGTCTTCTCTATATTTTGGACCCTAAGATTTCTCAGAGAGAACAAAGCCAGGTTACGCTCATGGAGTTTCCATTTGCTTCATACGCTGCCAAGGAATGGCTCTACCACTACACAAGTTCCGACCCTCCAAGATCTGGCGTCAAGAAACTAGTGGTCGAGCTTTTTATGGACCGGGGCGGTTGCTTCGATACTTGGATTCAACTTCGTGATCTGGGCCACCCATGGAAGAGAGCTACAGCCATCGCGGGTGCTACAGATAACCATACAACACCTTTGTACCATGCGTGTTTGTTAGGGCTTGCCGAGATTGCAGCCGAGCTGGTCACGTTCTACGATGTGAACGCTCCTGGCGGACGGTATGGGAACGCATTACAAGCAGCGATATCACAAGGCCACATCGATGTTGTGTGCACTCTCCTAGACGGAAGCCCTGATGTTGACATTGGGGAAAAGATTTCGAGCACAGAACAGGCAATCTTACCTGAGCGGCAGGAGACAGAGAAACAGATGTTGCCAAACACAAACAATTCTATCAATGTCAATGCCCATGGTGGAGAATATGGCACTTCTCTAATTGCAGCATCCTACAATGGCAACAGAGAGCTAGTATCGATGCTGCTACGCAAGGGGTCGAAGATCAACGACCAAGTTGGTCAGTACGGCAATGCTCTGATTGCAGCATCTAGTGCGGGCCACAGCAAAATAGTGCAGACATTACTGGACAAAAGTGCAAGCATCAATTCCCGCGGTGGAATATTCGGCAATGCCTTCTACGCTGCCTCATTTGGTGGACATACAAACGTCCTGCAGGTTCTTCTAAAGTCTGGAGCCGACATCAATGCCGAAGATGGTCAATTCGGCACTGCCCTCGGCAGTGCTTCTCTTGGAGGCCATATGGCAGCAGTGCAGATACTGGTCGATCATGGTGCCGATGTCAATGCCTCCAGTGGAAGACTTGGTAGTGCACTCCAGGCTGCCTCCCTTGTGGGCCATATTGAGCTGGTTAAATACTTGCTTGATAAAGGGGCCGATGTCAACGCTTCTGGTGGAAGATTTGGCAACGCTCTTCAGGCCGCATCATTTGGCACTCGTGAATCTATGGCAGAAGGTGTGCAACAGATAGTAAGGGCTATGCTTTCACAGGGTGTGCCAGTTCTTCCGCAGAATAGCAATGCACTACAGGTTGCTTCCTTCGATGCATACCTTTGGGATGAGACGATGCTCAAAAGAATAAGCGAGGCTGTGCTATCAATGTTCCCTAAGGATCTTTCTGCTGTGGATTCTGGAATGCGCAATCCGCTTCTAGATGCATTTCTTATAGACCGTGGGGCATTGGTGCGGCTGTTGCTAAAGGAAGGCGCCGATGTCAATGCCCCTGGTGGAGAATATGGCTCTGCACTCCAGGCCGCATCATCCCAGGGCCTTGGAACGGTGGTAAAAATACTACTAGAAGCCGATGCAGATGTTCAAGCTTCAGGTGGTCTTCATGGTAGCGCTCTTGAGCTGGCATCTAACCAAAACCATGAAGGAGTAGTGAAGATGCTTCAAGAGGCCACTAGTAGCCTGTTGCCTACAGGGTCCCACTCTTGATTCATATGGTCTGTGATTTGTCACTTCAACCCGCTGAAAGCCGGTCATTATAGAACAAGGAATTATAACAATATGGCGAGCTACATTATTCACATTAGACGAACATGATCGGTCATAGAGAGAGCTTTATAATTGGCTTCTAGCCATGATCTATATATAACTTTCTAAGTGCTATATAGTTAAAGGCTAGTTACCGTCAACGTTATTACATAAAAAGCTTCAAATATTGTTGATACAACATAGATGTTAAGTACTAATAGATTGGCGTAGTGATTAAGCATATTTCGTATACAGCATACACTGACTGAATATGTTGCCAACATGCTGGGGCGTGCATATACTCCCAATATTGTTAAAAAAGATTTTCAAGCTGCGGAACTATGATTCATACCGAACCACGCTTGAATCAGGTCCTCATGGTGCCGTCCATTCTGCCATTGGGGGAGACAGGTCCTCCGCGACATCACCGAATGGTAAGACTCAACCTTGACAATTTCCCAACAATTACTCCCCACTGGCTTTACTTTTCCATATTCAGACCCGATTTTCTTCCTGCACCATACACAAATAGATCGTCTCTGGTGGCTTTGGCAGCAAGAAATACCATCTAACCGCACCTATGGCTACAGCGGTATCGGACTCAGGATAATTCCGACTGTAAAACCCCGCCGGCAGCCATCTTGAAGGATCTTCTTCCGATGCTTGGGATGGCAAAGGACCTCCCCGTCATATGGGGCGCGTGATAAGTCCTAGCGGAGCTATCAAGAGAGATCAATACGGCTGTATTGGCTATCAACGAGAGACTTGGGGGAAAGTGAGAGAGAGGGAGAGGGAGCAAACTATCTCTACAGTCCTGGACTACATTAGGACTGGCCCCATCAAGCAAGTTCTCTTCTGAAAATCCCCTTCTTTCTTGTTTGTAGCTATTTTCAGTTCCTTCCAGACCGACTCATGTGACCTCGGTAGTCTAGTTATAGGAGTAGCAGAATAACATCATCCTTACTAGTCACCATCTCATCGTAACACAGTGCCCAGGTTTTCTGCTTTTCTATGCCTGGGTAGGATGAACTATTAATATATGTAGATCAGGTATCGTTGTGCAAGGGGCGAGCTAAATATCTCCACCGTAAATGCGGGGACCGTATATGTACTAGCGCATAGGCCCAGAGGAAACACTCGTATGAACACCCATCTTTTAAATCTTTCACAACCTTCACCCAAAAAAAGGCATACAATATGGCAAATACAAATGAGCGGGATCACACACGGGATAAAATTGCACAGCAACTCTCCCCCACTCCCTTCGCATGCTCCTCGCTCACGCGCCTCTCTGGAGGCACAGCCAACTTTGTCTATCGAGGCACACTTACCTCAACTGGACAATCGATCATCATCAAGCACACCAAAGATCACTCGGCCTCTAACCCAGATTTTAAAATCGATGTCACGAGATGCGTTAGTTGTACTCCATTGAATGATCCTACTTCGGACTATACTGATATCAAATTAGCACTTCGAGGAAGCCATTCTTCAAGCTCTCGATGGCCTAGCAATGTATACAAGTGACAAAATAGCCGTCAAGACACCGCGCTTATTAGACTTTAATCGGGAAACAGACACCCAGGTGTTGGAAGATCTTCCAAATTCAATCGACCTAAAGAACTTCCTTCTCTCAGAGGTTTCTCATGACTTGTCCGAATCCTCAGGGCGAGCCCTGGGCAGCGCCCTTGGATCCTGGCTGAGATTGTTTCACCATTGGGCGGCCGAGGAACAGCAAATGGAATCTAGGAAAGTTCTTGGCGAGAACAAAGTCATGAAAGATTTGAAGTTCTGGGTGAACTATACTTTGCTGATGAACACTATTGAAAATTTCCCCGGTATCCTAGAGCAGGATCGTGATATTTTCGAGAAAATTCGTGACCTCGCTGCAGCAGAGCTTGAGCGACAGGACCATGATAATGGATATGGAATTATTCACGGTGACTTCTGGACTGGAAAGTATGCTCTCTTGGATCTAGACTCCATGAACTGACCCAGGTTACTGACGTAATTTTTAGTGTTCTTCTTCCAAACGTTCCTCTCACTGATGAATCTGAGACGACTATGTTCATTGTTGATTGGGAACTGTCGCAGGTTGGAAGCCGAGCATTAGACTTGGGCCAGATGATTGCTGAGCTGTACGAAACAAAGCTGTTCAAGAATGTGGACGGTGGAGTGTGGATTATTCAAGGGTTCTTGGAGGGATATGGGACCCTCAGCGATGAAATGGCATTCCGCACTGTGATCCATGTTGGTGTGCACCTGATTTCCATGGGAAGTAGAGTCCCTGGATGGGGCACTCAAAAGCAAATTGAGGAGGTGGTGAAGTTGGGAAGAGATTTGATCGTCCACGGCTGGAGGAAAGATAAGGCCTGGTTTGTGGAAGGCACTCTTAGCTGCCTGTTCAAGGGTTAATTCTTTCCAGGGCTATATTGGTATACTACATAATCTATTTACAAAATGGTCAGATAGGACTTAGAGCCCAAGCCAACCCAAATCCAGCTACTATACAACTGGTTCCTCGTGTTCGGCATCATGAAGTCCTCTTCCCAGAAAATGCTGTGTATCTCGATGGGTAGCTCTTTAAAACTGCTTCGCTGCTCCATAAAATACATACGTAAAAAATACATATATAAATTGCTTAAGTATTGGAATTGGAATTGGGAACGGAGAACGGCACTGATTTTCGAAATTTTGCATTGTTTTTGGTATTTTTGGGTTTGTTTACGGTATTGAGAATACATCCAACTTTCCCCGCCAAATATTGCCACTTATGCTCCACGGACCGCAACGCTTTTCGCTCTCCAACGCCCAAGTAGGGAGTTGGTGCAGCCTGTGGAGCGCAATTATCTCTTCTTCTCCTCGACGTCGACAAAGACATGTCCCAAGGGACCAGCCTCAGCACTCCATCCTCCATGCTGGATGGTGTACTTGTCGCTCTTGTCCAACACCTCAACCAAGTTGGCGTACTCTCCACCACGGTTTTCCCAGTGGAGCTCGCAAATCTTGTCATTGTCATGAAATAAGTCCAGGCGGCCCTCACTACCGCGACGGCTGCTAGCACCGATCTCGCCAACGCCATCAGGGGAGATCTTGATCTCGTCGATCTCCTCTTCAGTGAGCGACTTGCGGCGGTCGTTGGGGTCGGCAAACTCGCCGCTGCCAGATGTTAGTAGAGATCTGGTAAATCCCTGGAATCATAAATACCCTTCAATGACAGTGTTCTGCACTAGGATCTCCCCATCTTTGATGTGGTCCCGAATGTGGAACGAGACCCACTGAGAATTGTACTTGTCCATATTGTCCATAGTGGAAATCTGTGAAGTAATTGCGATAATTGAATAATTGTATGTATAATTGTATGTAGAATTGAAACTCCTGGAATGCAATTCAGAAATGTCAACTCTTTAAATAGTTTATATATTACCCCAGAATGCGGGGAATGCTTGTGGTGATGTAATTCATTCTACATTCGTCGACAGGTTGTCCACGAGTGGTACGACCGCCGACACCTGCGGGCACCATTGTCCAATGACCTACCCGAACCAGAGAACCTTCCTGGTCTTTGCGGGGTTTACGTGCCTATCAACTCGTCTCATTGCATTATTTGAGGCCGCGTGATTTGAGTAGTGCGGAGTGGCATGATAATTGGGCAATGGAACGCAAGACATTTCTGGTTTAAATTTACATGACTGACCTGAGGGGTCGTACCATGATCGAATAACTCGAAGACAATAAGGATAGCAAGACAACATGACTGTAACTAGATAAGAGGGATGGGACCACCGAATCTCTCAGGTCAATTGGAATGAAACACGATAATTTTAAGGTAGATCGAATACAAACGCCAACTAATCTGTGCGATGAGGACCGCCTTTGTCTATTACCCCAAATAGATTAAGAAATCACTTATAAAAGAATGGCCGCCGATGGGTTCAAACCTCCAATACAACAGAATTGCTTTAACATCACTTGGTCACATAGACTTGTGCTTCGAGGGTGTTCATTATCGTCTCATGCCACAAGCATACGAAGATACCTGGGCTGACACATTATGCCCGTCTTACTTATGACCGGTTCTGGCAACAGGACTATAAGATAGTCCATGCGAGCATTGAAGCTTAATGGACGTGGAATTTGAGTGAAAGTGCCTGGCTTTAATATCTCGCACGTTCAAGCATCCCTAAGCCATATTATCAGTCTAGCAATGGGGGAGATGTCGCATGCAAACTACTAATAAGAGATTGCAGGGTCATTACTGCCTCACAAAATTTGAAGGGTCAGATAATGTGCAGCTCAAGCTTCCGACTTGCGGGGGTCACATATAGCATTGCCACCCTAGTCGTGTTGTAAGGTTGGGAGGTAAGCGGACTTATTATTAATTCACCCCATGTGTGACGAGATGCATAATTAGTCCAGAATCACAAGTGAATCGATGGACGCCAATTATAAATCCGGGGGCGGGCCGTTGATAGCGTGAACGGCGAGGCTCTTCTACAATTCCCGATGAATATTTACGAATTTCCTTTATATAGCAATACTATTAATAGAACTATTTTATCTGTGCGAAATATGCATATGCAAAGAGGCGCAGAGGGGTATTGGGTGAAACAATAAGGGGGTCAAGGGGGCCATGGGGGCCATGGGGGCCAGAGGCAGTGTTGAGTGATATCGGAATACGGCTCTGGCCCAAGCTATAATCCCCAAATTCGCTTCCAGACTAATTCATCTTTCAACCCAAATATCTGCTGTTTATTCCCATCGTTCTTCGTCTTTCAAAAATGTCTATCCATTTTCCTACGCGATTTGATGACGAATATTGGACAACATCAAAATGGCTGCGAGTGGCGTGCATAGTCGCTAGCTCCGTCTCACCCTTCTATTTGCTGGCCGTGGGAGCATCGTGGGGGTTTTTCATACTTGTGGTAATGACCTCTTTTGAGTTGGTTGAGAACTTGAGTGGCTAATATTATCTAGAATTTCCTGCCATTGGTTTGGGCCTCAATTCATCTTGTCCTGCTCCGCAGAGAAGTCATTTTTCATCCGCTACTCAATGCCTCTCTTGATATTCTTTCAATCATAAGCTACATTCGTACTATAATCTCTTTGGGTGCCGGATTGGGTGAATATGTCTACATAACCGTCACGGGTCCATTTATGCTGGCCGCTATGTACGGTCGCAACATCCTCGTTCTGATTTGATTACGTCTTTGCTCACTGGTTATATGCAGATACTGTTTTGGCGTCTCATGCCTCCGCGAAGTAATGCGATTCCGGCGATCTGTGCGCGGGTATGTCCAGAATGGTGTCATCCTTGCCTAGTCAAGTGAAGCAACAAAAGGTTCAGTGGGAATTGCAATCAGGGGATGATTGTTGTTGAGGTCGATCCTCGAATTGATTCTTGGGATGCTTGATTGATGATGGTACAGAGTACATATATCATAGTACGGTTCTTAAAGGTAATCTGGTATAAACCATTAAAAGAAATGTAAATTTAAGATGGAGTCAGATGTCTAACACCAAGAGAAATATAATTGTCAATGGTAGCTCAAAATCACCCGGAAAAATACAAATAGCCACCAACAAGTTTCGCTGTTATGGGTATCTTTGCAAGCTTAAAGTGTCATCTAGATCTGCAGAGCAGCAACGACGATGGCGCCGAGAACAACTGCAACACCGGAGACGGTGGAACGTCCAGCAGCGTTGAAGGGAACAGAGCTGGGAGTAGCAGTGGTCCAGGCACCAGTGGAGGCAGGGCCAGTGGCAGTGGTAGGAGTGACACGGCGCAGGGAAGAAGACTTAGCACCAGCGGAGGTAGCAGCGGCGCAGGCCGAGGTAGCGGCACAGACAGTCTTGGTCCGAGTAACAGTCACGGTGATAGCAGAGGAGGCTCTAGCGGAAGAGGAGCGTCCAGCAGAGACACCGGAAGGACGAGGGCTGCCAGAAGAGATAGGGGACATAGAGGAGACACCGACAGCAGGGGACGAAGGAGCACTTGTGACAGCAGGGGCGGTCCAGGGAGCAGTGGTGGCAGCCGCCGAGGTGGGAATGGAAGATCCAGTCACAGAAGGGACGGGGGTAGCAGAGGAGGAAGTAGATCCATCCTGGCAATCAGCCTCACCCAGAACTGCCAGGCAAAGGTTAATGGGAATGTTGATCAGGCCGCCGTTGGAATCAGAGCTCTGCTTGCAGTGGACCTCGCCGAGGACAGCAAGGCAAACGTTGATCGGCACATTGATCAAGGACTCGCTGTCGCTGCTGGAGGAACTGGCCTGGTCACACTTCGCCTGGCCAAGAGCAGCCACACAGGCGTTAACGGGGACGTTGATGAGGCCGTTGGTGGTGCTCTGCTGCTTGCACTCAGCATCTCCAAGGATGCCAGCACAGAGGCCAACAGGCAAGCTGATCAAGCTCTCGGTAGCCTGGACACCCTATGCAAGACATATATTATTAGCTTCATATCCAATTGCAATCCGAAATGGTGGAAGTTCCACTTACAGAGCAAGAGGCGGCAAGAGCCACAAGGGAAGTGATAATAGATTGCTTCATATTGTCGGAATAAATGTAGAAATTATAAGTTAAGTATTAAGAGAAAGCGGCGTGATTAATATTGATGAGAGTGATAAAAGAATGGACGCTGATAACAGCAAAAAAGAGTGAACGTGAGAGAACTCACAAAGAGTATAGCAGCTTGAGTAGATGAAGGTACGAGGAAAGGAAGATCATCCAGAGGTGGGCAAAGGGCCTTATACATGTCAAACTACCAGCCAGAGTACCGGAATTTTCTCAGGAGAGAAGTGTTGATCTGCATCGATCTGCATGGCAAAGTATTGGCAAGCAAGAAAACGATCCTCGGTCAATACTAAACCAGGCCATTGGCTTTCCAACAGGTCTCTCATTGGCATGCCCCTATTATATGGAGTATTAACCCACTGCGATTTATAGGGCTAATTGTAACTAATCTCGTAACAACATGCCCTAACCAGATAATAACCTGATGATCAAACTCTATATGTACTAGCTTCACTATAGTTCCTTTTCCGAGCCGCTAGCTGCTATAGCATTCGCTTTGATAGCTTTTGCTTGCACCAACTCAGCTAGTAGTTATCATATTAGGCTTTCAGTCTGGTTGGGGTTGAAAAGATATAGACCTAGAATACTGATGGGAGCTAGACTAATAACCAGCCTTCATGAGACCTTGAGGAGAAATATTTTGAGCTTTAGATATTTCGTTCTAAGAGGGATTAGTGTCTCTTTTATATAACCATTCCAAGTGCCCAACACCACCATACCTGGTGTTGGTGCGCCCTAGCGAACACAATATTTTCAGTAAACACAATATTTAAAAGTAGGTATCTTTTGTATGACACGCCCATACAAAAGATACTTGTGTATATCACAGGCATAATATCAATTTTATTGTCCCTTCAGATACAAGAAGACTTGTACGGAGTGAAGGAGGTCTATTTCATTTAATCAAACTTCGGTAAGAAAGATCAAAGCATACTATAAGAAAGAAAGCATCTAGTACTCCGTATGTTTCTACATATAAATTTTATATATAGTGTCTTTTTTAAATATCACCCTTCTTACACATTAGACATCGATAATCAATACTAGCATTAGAACAATTAAGCTAGACCTTTATTATATATTTGTACTTTTTCTCTTGCTTTAGCTAGTTCGAGGGCTCAAAAAATTTACATGGTGCCTAAGTACCCTTTGTATGGGTAAGTCATACAAAAGATACCTAATTTCTGGAAATATTGAACCCCCGGTAGGTGTGTAAGCGTTTGGCACAGTTATATAGATTTTTTTTTAACTGGACTTATAGCTTCTTCTTCTTCTTCTTCTGGTGCTCATTTTGGCTTATAGAATGGGCTTGAGATGTGTCATTTCGACTTCCAAGTTATCTATGGGGCGATGTAAAATCTTGGAAGAGTATGCGGGGTAGCTTACATGTACATATATAGCATTGACTAACTAAATTAATCCTTATGATAGGCATCATGGCCTACACGGTACAACATAATAATGTTGTGTTACCTAAATGCAGCACCCTGCATTCCAACCTTGGAAGCTTAGAGAAGCCCTGATACGCCCATTTATGCTTATCACATGAGTCATCCGATCTGCCCCGATGAACTCGATAAGGCGATTCAGCTCTCGTGACACTCCAGAATGACCCCCAGTGCTGTTCTCTCCAGTTCCTGCTTTTGTTCACTTACTTATTACTTCCTCTTTCCAAGATTGCCCGCTCTTTTAGCTCTATTAGACTTAGAGTATACATCCTCTCTTATTCATCTCGTTTACATCGGATTCGCTTATCGCCTTTACCCCATACTTTGATGCCCACGGTCCCACGCGAGTCTACTTGAGGCTGTACCAAGCCACTATATCTATCGAAGACACCTTCATTGATAGACCATGTCTCCTCCGTTATTTCAGAACCTCCTCTCTGGGACACTTCCTGATCACTGTGAACCGACCTCGCTCTTCCTGACCGCCGTCTCCTCGCACCTCCACATCTGCATCCCCACTCCTCTTGCGGCGATCTCTTCCGTTCTTGGGACCCTCAGCATAGTCTCATGGCTTTTCGCACAACTACCTCAGATTTATAAGAACTTCCAAGTGCAATCGACGTCAGGCTTATCGATATTTTTCTTGGTAATCTGGTGTCTTGGTGATGCGAGCAATCTCGTTGGAGCGCTATACACCCGGCAGGCAGGGTGGCAGGTCGTGATTGCCAGTTATTACGTCTTGGTTGACATCACTCTGGTATTCCAGTTCTTCTGGTACACCCATTACAAAGCCCGCCAAAATGATTCGTATAACAACCTGTCACACTCGCATGACTCGTCTCGTCGAGACATCATTCAAGGCGTGCCTCCTCCAGGCCACGACTCAGACCCTCAGACCCCAGCTCCCATCAACATGGACAACAAGCACTCCGAGGCCAAGGATGTGGGCTTCCCGGCCGGGTCAGTACTCAACTCGATCCATGGGCAAACAGCCTCATACTCAAACGAGAAATTGAGCTCCTCGCGTCGATCCGTGAGGATGGGGAGCAGCGCGCAGAGCCCGCCATTCGCACTGCCCCGGACGATGCTCATGGCATCACTCCTCTGTGCCGTACTCGCCAACGCTGCTCCCACCGATAAGCCTCATCCTCCCATTTCCGAAGCACCGCGGGAAGCCATCTTCGAGATCATCGGCCGCGTCTTCTCCTGGATGTCAACAATCCTGTATCTCGGCTCACGCCCTCCACAGCTATACAAGAACTACCAGCGCAAGAGCACCGAAGGTCTCTCCCCATTACTCTTCATGGCCGCCTTCTGTGGGAACCTGTTCTACTCCAGCTCGTTGCTCACCAACCCGAATGCTTGGTCCGATTTCTCTCCATACGGCGGCGGCGGCTGGGCCGATAACCACGGCAATGACCGATTGGAATGGATCGGACGTGCTACCCCATTTTTCCTCGGTGCCTTCGGTGTATTGGGACTGGACGGGTTCATGGGCGTTCAGTTTCTCATGTATGGCGATGGTCCAGAGCACGAGGATGACGAGAGTTTCATCAGCGGCGATGGGGATGACCAAAAGCGCGGTCGCGGTCGCTGGAGGCATGTTCACGGCTGGATGCGCGGCTGGATCCCCTCTGCTTCGCCTCGGAGGGACTCAGGAGAATCTTCGGTCCCGCAAGAGGGACAGGCTCTGTTGGGCGTAGGGCGTAACCTATACGGCACTGTTTGATCGTGGCTGTTTATACGCGTCTTTTTATTCTTCTTTTGTTTCTTGCCCACGTCTCTTGCGTAGAGTAAGTATGATATATATGATGTGATGACTTCAGAGCTTTATTTTCCTCTCTTAGCATTTCTTGTCTTGTCTTTTGTCATTCGAGTGCATTGTGTGTCATTAGTACAGCAAGCGTTCGCCTTTGTTCGCTCTCTATCCGATCTGTTTGTGTTTTCTGGGCGTTTGGGGGCTGGATAGCATATATAGGGACAGCCAGGCTGTCATCGAGGTGTGTTTGGGTGTTGACAGTCTATAACTTCGAGATCTCGCATTCCCCATCTTTTTTCTTGTGCAATGCAATGCCTTCAAATCATGGCATGTCTTGGATTTCTCGGTTAGAGATGGGCCATAGCGCACATTTACAAGAATAGACCAGTTTATTGAATGACCCATGCCGGTTTAGGAAATATACATATGTAAAAAGGGTTAGGAAAGCTCGGCTACTGGTATAGCGCCGATCGGAGGCATCAAAACGTGGCTAGATAGTCCGAGTGGCTCCCCTGATCGCCCCATTTAATTCCCTGGTGTCAGTTATTTCATGAATTTCCTGTGATTTGAGGAATGTAAATTGAGCAATATATCGTCTAGCAATAAGCCCGATTTCCCCGAGAACCCTACATAGTAGACAGCAAGAAAAACAGCCATGCCCCGTCCGTAATTTACCTGAGACCCCAAGTCCTAAGTGGAAGAACAACAAGAACAACACGATTCTGGGCGCTCATTTGATGTGTAGTTACCTGATTCCTCAATTAAGTCAGCCAAGATCATGCAGGAACCAATTGCCTTGTCTTGAATGAAACAATCATCGCTTCAAATTGCCAGCTTATTTTCCAAGTGGAGCGTTAACGCCACAAGCCGATGGCAAAAGGTACAACCACAGCGCATCTAGACTTTCCAACCCTATGGGGGAGATTACCATTTAGAGATTTGGGCTAAAAGCTCGCGATATCCTCATTTTGGTTTACTCACTTACTCATCCAAAATTACGTCCTTTTTGCTACCTTCCGTGGTGTTTACTCACCCGTCCGTTCGTTTACATTCGCTAGATTCTATATAAGAATGATGGTCCAAAGCCATTTGATGTGGCTTGCCCACGTTCTTCCGGCTGTTGTACTCACCATCACCGTGCCTACTCTAGCGACTCCCTCTCCAGCTCCGCCCTCGGGTTGTGGTTCTGAGAACTTGATTGAGGATGTGGCTTTTGAGTCTATTGATCTCGATGACAGTGTGTGGGCTGTCCTGCCGCCCAATGGCGGTGTCGCTGTTGATGGATACCTGTTCGTGTCCACCTAACCATATGTACGGGCAAAAGATTCTTGCAGAGTGCGAACTGACTTGCCTTTTGTGATAGGCATCTGAGTGCCGAAGCCATCCAATCACAGACCCTGTTGGCCCAGACAGTTACCGGCGCCGTTGCGGAAGAGAGTTATACTGTCTCTTTCGATTTCCGCCAGACAGCTGGCTCAGGCGTTGATAGTACAACCTGTACCGTGAATCTCCTACTCAATGGCGCAGATGTCGGCACCAGCACTCTCACAGCCGGTTCCTGGAAGACCATCTCTAAGCAATGGACGGCTGTTAGCTCAGAAGTCGACATGTTCATCCTGATTAATTGCCCTGATGCGACGATATCGGGCGCAACAGTGGATGTGAACAACATCTCGTTCGAGAAGAGATGTGGTTCATCCGTCTCGACCAGCGCCTCGGTCCCTACCAAGACCCCATCAGTTTCGCCTGTAGCTACCAGCACTCCGCTCGCTTCTTCTCTCTCCTCGTCTGGCCATTCCAGTTCTGAGGGATCGGAATCTTCATCGAACATCTCCTCAGTCTCGCCAAGTAGCACCGTAGGCCCTATCACCTTGACAACCACTATCACTGGGCCCGTAAATCCCGCTTCCAGCAGTGCCATCGAGGCCTCAGCCTCAACCCCTGGAGCCCCAGCATCTTCCGAGTCCACCGCACTTACAATCCCTACGTCCGTGGACCCCACTAGCTCCTCCCCAGTAGGAGCCCCTACGCCGGATATGACAACCTCTACTGTCTTCACCACCCGCACTGCGACTATCACAGCCTGTCCCTCGACTGTCACCAACTGCCCACTCACCGACAAGACAACTCACATCACAACCGAGACTATCGTTGTCTCGACCACCGTCTGCCCTGTTGAAGATGCAACGACCACTACCGCGGGATTCAGCCCTACCGGCCCATCTGGCAACGGCAACGACTACACAATCTCAACAATCCTCTCAACCAGAACCGTCACCCTAACCCAGTGTCCAGCAACAGTAACTGGCTGCCCAGCTCGCGACCAGACAACACACGTCACGACCGAAACCGTCGTTGCCGGTACCACTTCAGTCCCCATCAACACTGCCATGACCACCACGGCACCTGGCGCAGTGCATACATCGTCTGTCCCTGTGCAGACAACCACTATGGTCGTTGGCACTGAGACAAGGACTTCGACTGCTTACTCTGTTATCACCGCCACAGGCACCGCTACTACCGAGGGTGGTGTTGTTGGTGAGACTAGTGTTTCTCACGTTAGTGGAAATGGCCCTAGTTCCGGAGTGTCAGCGGGCGAGGGTGAAGGTGAAGGTTCGACCGGCCCTGGCTCTAGCTCTAGCGTCCCCTCTGGTAACAATGCCGGCCACCTCTCCAGCCTGCCCGGCATCACTCGCACACACATTAGCTCAGCTACACCTTCAAACTTCACCGGCATCCACTCAGCCACGGCCAAGGTTTCCCCCGTCACAGCCTCCTCTCATACTATCGCAGGTGCAGGTACAGGCACAGGCTCGGGTTCTACTACCGAAAGCAGCAGCTCAGCAAGTGCATCGCCTGTGTTCAATGGTGCTTCATCCTTCACTGTTTCCGGCGTCTTGTCTGCACTTGGTGCTATCGCCGCTCTCGCGCTTTTCCTTTGAGTACATATCTCTTTCATTGTATATTCTTGATATGGGGTATAATGGATTTTGGCATTTTCTCGGGGATCGAGTCTATAGTCATATAATACATTGTGTAAAGCTCCTTCTATATTTGACTTCACGCAGAAGCACGAACTTAAGCTTTCAAAGCCCAAACAAAGACATGAACAATCCTTAGAGTCAGTTCACATAGTCCCATTCAATAGAAGTCTTATAGTTTTGTTTTGCAACATATTTGGAATCTTTGAAGATCAGTGATATTCCTCTGTTTTACTGAAAGGCCTTTGTATGCGCCTGTCTAATTGGTTGCCTCTCAATATTCTCTTCATTGGCGGCCTTGTCACAGCCCATTTAGAGGCAGTGTAGTGAACCCTCCAACTTGTGAATCCTATTTTTTCCTTATTTTTTTGATCCAGGCATGACCTTGGCGCCTGATGTAAAAGCGCAAACGCTCAGCTGGGCGTAGAATACCAATCACATAGGTAGACAGGCCACCTATACTTCAGCTATATACAATATAGGCATATGTAAGAAGAACCCAAAATAGAAATAGTAAGAAACAAAAAATCATAGACCATAATTATGACAAATGCTATAGTGTTTTTGAGGTCATTAACTATTAATCTTGTACGGAGTACAACATCATGGATTAGTGTGTACTTGTGTCCTCTTATTCGCCTCCCCCGCCCTCAGATAAAAGGAGGGGTGTTTTGCCGCCTGGTTTTTCCGATTTTCCCCTTGATTTACGGAGTTTGGGGGAATTACAGTTTGGGTTTCCCTAAGTTGTATTCGAATCACATAGTGCAGCTAGAAAATATGGAGATGTTTTTTTTATTTCAGGGAAAAAGCTGCCGAATGTAGCCGGTCGGGCATCGTTGGTCCTGCTATCCGGTTTTTGTCTTCTTTTTGTTCTGTAGGTTCAGTTCTTGGTGTATTTAATCGTCTATATCGACTAGAACCATCTCATCAGTAGTACAAGGTATGTAGGCAGGTACTGTATGTACAGTTAGATCGTGGTACCTTGAAAGAATCGGAGGAACTGCATCGAAAATGGAGCATGGCAAGGCACGAGGTCCGAGGGACTTTGTTTTTTCTAGAATTTATTAGTACGCACGGTCTTTGGTGCCTGTTGTATTTAAGTATTTTAAGTATTTAAAGATTAATAATGTATTTCTAGACCCCCTGTCAGAGAAATGAGTTCAATATATATGCGGGACTTTTTATTGGCACGCAGAGATGTATGCGCCTTTTAAGCAGATAGGCACATAAATATAGCAGGACTGTCAGCGCCTCAGATAAATACAGGTCAAGACACTGTCTTTGCCTCCAGGAGTAAGTACATGTACGGAGTACCTGATAACTTGCCCATGCAGCATGACGCTACTCCGTATTGGGATGCAGACTGCAGGGATCAACATCCAGGTCCATCGCTGAGGGCGGAGTTGTCTACGGTGAGTCAGAGCCCGGGTGTCTTCCTAGGTGGCCAGTTAAACTGTGTCTGACATGTCAGAAAGACCAGAGAGAAGAGGTAGGGAGAGTGCTTGTCAGATGGAGTGCTTGTCAGATGCATGGTCTTGGTTGCCCTTGCTTGGTTGTACGGGGTAATGGGTGCGTGTGATTGCATATCGAGGGATAGCATGGAGTGAATGACCCGCGACAGCTGTGAGGTTCAAATGTTCCAAGGTTGTTAGTTTGTTGACTATACTCCGTAGTTGTACATATTTGGAGTACGTTTGGGGAGTGGGTATGGAAGAGTCCGGATGAACACTTCCGGCAGGTAGCACTACGTAGGGGGGGGTTGTAGACTGAGCAACGGAGGGAATGCGACATTGGATGTTTACAGGGTAATTTTTATAGATATAACAATGGTAGCCACTTAATATAGGATATTTCGCATTTACTATTTACTATTCACTACTCCGTATTCAATTTAAAAAAAGAATTGAAACCTTCCAAGGTTGAAATATAACTGAGCTTACTAAGAACCCTGGCCCGAAAAGTCCATATTAAGTGGAGTAACCTTTTTTTAGTTTTTTTTTTTTTTTTTCTGCCAAAGCTCAAATACAATACGAGTGAGAACCAGTGACACGGGCGTTGCATCACCGGATTTGCCTTAAGGGTCTAGGGCCTTTTTTCTTTACTATTATGGACAACCTTACGATACAATTACAACTATAATACCTGCACTGTGCACGTTCCAAACTCATGGAAATCACCGGATAGATTTTTGTAGCCAAAAAAGAGTAAGGAAAAAAAAGAAGGAAAAAAAAGAGAATTAAGAAAACCTAACAAGAACTGAATATAATGCTAAATTCGTATTCAATCATTATTCATAGATTGTAGGTAGGAGCCTAATTTATCTCATACTAGTAGAGACACCATGTGCGAAACAACTTTTTCTTAAATTTAGAATTTCCATATGTGGGCCAAGTGACTCCTTCACTGTATACCAAATACATGTAAAATTACCGGGGCAACCCAACGGCCTTTTCCCACACAACGCCCCTATACACTTTTCTCCTCTTCATCCTTCTTCTCAACCTCTTTTCTGTATCAATCTTCTCCCGTGTCAACGAGCTTTTCACTAAGTGTCGTTGATCACCTCATTCTGTGAGGTTTGCGTCTACGCGTGGGAAATTTATTTTTCTTCCACCGTGCTCTTCGTTCTCCCAGCGCGTTCAGTTCACACTTCTGCGTGGGCTCTTCCGCTTCGCTTCGACCTGGTTATTCGCCTCTCAAAGCACCTTGAATTGACTGGATTGTGATCTATCACCTTCCCTCCCAGGCTGCGTCATTTCGACACTCCAAGCGAGGACTGTGTCTCGTTCACCGTTCACCACGCTCTTTCCAATTCTTATTTACCCGTCATTTTTCCGTTGGATCTTTGAACGCACCTCAATGTCATTCAACTAGAGACTGCCTCCCAGGAATACGACAGAGCGATCCGCTCGCCGAGCACTGCTCTTCTCCTTTTCCTCCCCCCAGAATCAGGATCTGGTGGAGTAGACGGTTCGTATCCTTGTTTCTTTTAACTCTTGTCTCTCGGTCCATCTGGCATTTGCCTACCCCGGAGGCCTCGTGTGCTGATTCCTCACCTGCTGGCAATAGAATACGTCTAGCTCCCCACCCTGAACTGGTAACCGCGCCTCACCTTCTCAAGATGCCGTCCTTCTTCGTCCCAGGCCACCATGGCCTGCCTACGCCTCCCCATGTCAACGGTGGCCGTATGGAAGAACCATCATTCTACCCGGTTGGTCACGCAGGATTCCCTCCTCGCTACCACCAAAGTGGCAATGAGTTCATCGAACAGTACTCGCAGTCTCTGTGCTACGCCAAACCCACTTCGATGAATCTCCACCCCCAGTCCGCCCATCCGATGAACACTGCTCGCGATCATCACATGATGAACCAGCAGCCCATGTTCAACCCCATGGTTGGCACTGGATTGCCCTCAATCCGCAGCAACGTCCAACTTCCGCCCATGGATGCTACGATGCCACCTCAATACCGTCGACAGGATGCCGCCCCGATGCAACAGCAGCCCGAACAACCCCGCAAGGAGGAGAAGGCAACTGGAGGTGTTGCAGCTCACCTGGATTATGAGATGGATCGCATGTCCGACTTTGTGGCAGAGATGGCTCAGGGAATGTATGATTTGTTTGAGACCAACATCACCATTGCAGATATTGACCTCGTGCGAAGCATCTACCCAGGATCTTCGGTTCCCCCCCAGTTTCGGAAATACGTCTTCCAGATTTTGTCCTCGACACGCCTCCCAAGTTCTACCATCCTGCTCGGTCTCTTCTATCTGGCCAGCCGTGTGCGCCTGTTGTCTGCCCAACGCGCCTTCACCAAGACAGACAGTAGCCAGGTCTATCGCATGTTGACCGTGGCTCTTCTGTTAGGCAGCAAGTTCCTTGATGACAACACCTTCCAGAACAAATCCTGGGCTGAGGTCAGCAACATCCCCGTTGCTGAGTTGAACCACGTGGAATTGGAATGGCTTTTCGCCTTCGACTGGAAGATTCACGACCGCATCTACGACAAGCAGGATGGTTTCGCCTCGTGGCGCGCGCACTGGGATACCTGGCGGGCCAAGGCAACAGCTCGGGCTCAGGAGTCTCGCCAGACTCTGGCGCCTCTCGAGACCAACGTGATCCGCGGCCAGGCTGTCAACAAGCCGCTTATGTCCCCCGAAGGCCCCATCCCGCCGCAGTACCAGCGCAGCTCCCAAATTGAGAACTCCTGGCTCAACCCGACCGCGTCCGAATACTCGCCCCCCTCTGCCCTTTCCAGCGGCCCCACTACCCCCGACTACTACTCGGTTGGCCCTTGGGGTTACGCTAACCCGCCTCCGCCCTACTCGCGAGGCTGGAACGCACCCTCACAGTACATGGCTCATCCCGCACCTCGATCCCAGCCCCCATCCTACCACCACACTCCGGCGTACGGCCTGCCATTCGCACAGAGTCTCTGGACGGGTCATGGTTCATCGTGCGGCTGCACCTACTGTGCCAAGCATCTCGAGCACTATATGTGCAACAATGCATTCCCCTCCATGCAGCAGCCGATGATCGCAACCTAGTTGACGATACTTGACATGTTCTGCCCACGACCCCGGATGGAACAGACGGTGTCAACGGTTCAAGACCACAAGTCTAGCTGCCTCTTTTTGAATTTCTTCTTACTGCAACTCTAGACTTCTTTCAACGTTCGTTTGGGCAACTCGCATGGGATTTATTCCGATACCGTTTCTTCTTCTGCCTGAATTGTTTTCAACCTTGCGCCTTTCCACCCTTTGCCTCCTAGCTTTCACCTGCTTCTGAGCAATTGGCCTACCGCGTCTCCAAAAAAGTACTTATGTTCTGCGTCCGCTGGTTCTCGTTTGGCAAAGCGAAAAAATCTCAAAAAATGGAAAAAAAGAAGGGAAAAAACGCTCCCACAGCGGACATTGGCATGCTCCCGGCAAGCCCCACGATGCAAAATCTCGACTCAACTTGTTATATTGATATCATTTTGACATTCATCAAGTCTTTCAATCTCATTTTTGGGTCTTTCATCTTTCACTGCAAAGGTTGCCGGGGCCGCAGTCACGACTATCACGAATCCCCAAAATCTGACTTCTTTGTTTATTACCCACGATCAAGGTTCATATCCTTGGTCATTTTGTTTTATGCTTGGCATTTGTGTCTCGCGGTGATTACCCATAGAGTGCTTTCTTTCTTCTTTTCACTTCCATTTCATCTCGGTACATTATTCCCATTCACCACGCTACATGCAGTGCCCGACGTTAATCATTTTTCTTCACTTCTCATCTCAATCTTCAATTGTTCATTCACTTTTTTTTTCCTCTCGATTCCTTCGATTTGATTTTATCTTTCTCTGACGAGCCTTTCTTCTCCAATCAATGAGATCAACAATTCAAGGATCCTTTCCAACCCTTCTAAGCCGCGTGATGTATTACATCACTCCCACCTTTGTCCCCCCTCACTTGCGACACAGATGGCAAACGATTGGTCTTGGAATCTCTTCTCCCCGTGACATCTTCGCATGTATCCCGGGGATATCGGTACCCTCGATGCATCTTGCGTCTGATCTCGTTTTGAGAGTCCAGTCAGTCGCGGGGTCCTGTCAGTCCCCACGACTGACATCTATGTAGTCTACCTGAGTTTGTCTGCTCTTTTGGCTTGCTTCTATCCTTCTGCCCTTTGCCATTTGGCGCTGCCGGCTAGCCAGGGCCGTCACATTTTCCGTCTCTATCAGTCATGTGTTGACCTGGCTACTGGCGTCCGTGGCTGTGGTTGTTGATGCTCAGTTCTTTAAAGATATCTTATTAAATTAGCGGCAAACTATTGTCTTTGTCGGGACTACAAACTTTTGGTGTTTAGTCCTAGGACTCGTATCTCCCTCGTATCTTCTATTTGAGTAGTGAGCCTCTTCTCTCTATCTGCCACTAGTTTTGGCGATCTCTTGGTTTTAATGAACCATGAGTCAGATTTCGTAATTTATGTATTTTTTTTGATAAATTTGATTCTAGCCTAACACCGAAAAGGGCCATCAGGCTGAAATAAGATATGAGTAAAAATGCAGTTGTACTAGTGGGTAATCAAAATTCATCCAGACAGTCGTCGCGGGTCGTAAGAGTAGATGCAGAGAAGAAAGAGACAAGAACAAGTAAAAGAGAAGGGAAAGTATGCAGACGGATAAAGCAGCCAAGGCGTGAACGAAAGCAACCGGAACAGTATTAGTAGACGCTCCCTTGGATACTCTGATCTTGCTTTTGCTGCTCTTCTAAGGATAATTCCTCGATGTGGAGATGAGATGGGGAATCCGTTGGCGAACTTTCTTGTCTTCGCGTCTGTGATTCTGAGTGGTTGGATGACTCGTCTCCGTCGCCAAGGATATTGGCCATGCGATGCTCGGATTGGTCGGTGGAAGAAGAAATATGGCGATGATGAGGATGGTGGTGGTGATGGGGATGGTGCAGTCGGGGTTTCTTCAATTTCTCGGTGTGATTGCCGCTCATCTCGTCATCGCCGTCATCTTCGAACTCCTGAGAGGGAGCTGCCCGTTGGGTTTGCTCGCTAGACGGGAATTCGAAGTGTTGCTGGTTCGCATGGGACAAATTGCTAGTGGGGAGGCTGGGAGAGGTTGGTGCAACGTGACGGTGGTGAGCGTGGTCGTCGCCTTCGTCGTCCGATGGGGCGAGGCTGTTTGCTCCGCTCATGGAGCCTCCACCGTCACGGCCGCCAAGGTGGAGGAGGGCGTATTTTAGGTGCGCTGATGATGAAGATGTGGCCGTTGCTAAGTGGGAGAGATGATCTTCGCTATTTCGATTCAATCCGTGTAAGTTCGGTCGTTTTGGATGCAATAGATTCACGTTTGGCCGGGCTTCTGGGCCAGAGTCGTATTGCTTTGTGGTGTCTCCATTGCCATCGTCCCGAAGTGTGCGCTGCGGGTTGGAGACGTGACGAGTGCTGGGTTGGCGGCTGGTATCATTCTGGGCCGAACTGTCTTCTTCTGAGGACGATACCACCTCGTCGATGGATATAGACTTGTGAAGTTTGGAGCCAAAACTGCCTACGTGGTCATCGGCATGCTTTGGTTGAGCATAGCCATGCTCGTGACGCATGGAATTCAGTAGATTCGCTCGCAACGATTGCTTTCTCTCTGCAGTCATGCCATGAGTACAGCCGTCGGGGCAGCCGCCCCACTTGCGCCGAATTGGGATATGGTCGGGGAGGCCGACATGACCAGCAGGCGGGATGGGTGCAGTGACCTGCCCTTTCGATGCATTTTCACGCTCTCGGTCTTTTCGAAGATCCGACCAGGTGCGAAGCTTGTTCTGTAGTGTATATTTGCCGTTTTCTGGATTGTGGGTCAAGACCAGGAACTCGCAATGATTGATGTTGCGAAGGTCCTCAAAGTATTCCACGCTCCAGTGGTACCACTTCATGAGAAATACTCTTGCCATGAGGCCGTGCGTGACAAGCACACAGACATTTGCAAAGTCATCTTCGCCAAACTGGCGCCAGAGGGACTCGTTAAACCCACTCACTCGGTCATAGGCATCTGCTGCGGATTCGCCATTAGGAATCCGGTAGAAGAAATGACCATAGTCTGCCCGCTCCATCCACATGCGCTCCATCTCTGTAGAACATGGCTGAAAATTACCGAAATCCTGTTCCCGCAGCCGGGGTTCTTCATAAACTTTGATTGCTTGTCTTTGAAAAGGCGAAGGAGCGGGTGTATCGGAGGTTAGGGAGTCGATAATTCCCTCGGTGGTCTCTCTTGTCCGCCGATAAGGGGAGGTAAAGAAATGAAGTTTATCGTCGGGTTGGAGAAGGTCACGTAGTCGACGGCCTGCATCCTGGGCTTGTCGATATCCTTCAGCAGTGAGCTTCACACGGTGGTCTGGAATAGTTTGATGAATGTCGCGGTTTTTGTTGCCTTCTGACTGTGCATGGCGCACTAGAATGATCATCTATATGTAGGAAAACGGTCAGTTGAAGCCAAGACACATCTCAATCACTCCGAAATGGATACTTACCCGTGGCTTCCCCATGGTGGAAGGGTCATGGGGAATGTAAATGGGTTGCGAATGCGGGGGAGGGGCTAGTAGAAGTAACCTATTTGCAGCAAGAAAGACAACGAGGGGGAAAAAAAGAAGAAAAGAAAAGAACAATGACCAAAATAACCGTCTATCTAAAGCGGAAAACAGTTTGGAAGAGAAGAAGTCAAAAAAAGCAAAGAAAAAGTTCATTCCAGTCGGAGATACAACTGACCCGCACGGGCCAACGGGTGGGTGATCCATTCAGCGCGCCTCTTTTACGCAACTTCCGAATAGCATCAACTCGCCATGGCCGACTTGCTGGAGCTACTCGCTCCACATCTAGATCCCACTCAATCGCACGATGTAACTACCGACAAATATCTCACTCGCCTCTCAACCTTGACGCTTGAAGCTCTCCAGACCACAGAACCCCCTTCGCTCGCCCAATCCTCCCACTCAACCCTTCTATCCCTCCAAGCCCTATCGAACCGTTCGCACCGGGCATTTGTCACCTCTGCCGATAATTTGTCCACACTATGTACATCTGTTCCACAGTTGACCCGCGAGGCGCAACAGCTACGCGATGCTATCCCCAAACTCGACGAGGAGGCCGTTGGGTTCTCCACCAAATACAGTAAAATCACAGACAATGCCGCCCTAGAACGACGGAAGAAAGCGATGCAGCTATCTCGCAATGTCGATCGATTGTCAGATATCTTGGAACTACCAAGTCTGCTGTCCAAAGCCGTCTCCGCGGCCTCAGTCAACTCCGGTACCGGTGTCTCCTCTACAACCTACTCCTCTGCACTCGACCTGCATGCACATATCAAGCGACTACAAACATTATACCCCGAATCACCATTGATTCAAGATGTTGCATCCCAGGCCGAGGATGCTATGAAGGACATGACAAGTAATCTGATCACGGGGCTCCGAACCCAGAGCCTGCGGCTAGCAGCTGGTATCCGAACTGTGGGTTGGCTGCGGCGAGTAGCCCCGGATTTAGATATGATTCAGAGTGATGGGGCGGTCGGGACAGGAGAAGGCGCTCTTGGGGCCATCTTCCTGGTCTGCAGACTAGCGCATTTGGTATCGACGCTTGAAGCTCTGGATCCCCTCCGCGAGCTCGCGGACCAAGAAACCCAACGGAGACTCGGAGGCAAGGACAAATCAGACACAACCTCGTGGTCCGGCGGTCAGCAGACTGATCGCTACTTAAAAAGATACATTGAGATCTTCCGTGAGCAGAGCTTTGCAATTGTCTCGCTATACAAGAACATTTTTAACTCTGAGCAATCCGAATCCGAGTTTGCCATATCAGGTTTACGAGGTGCAGACGCCCACTCCAAGGCCAAGTCAAAGCCAGCACACTCAGCTGACCCCTTGCAACGCCTCCCCCGGCTTTGGCTACTTTCCCAATGCATCTCGTGCAATTGCTCGCGGATACAATGCGTTCCTATCTTCCCAACGTCCGAGATCGGAGTTCGAGGGAAAGCCTTCTCACCCAGCTTCTGTACTGTGCTGCAAGTCTTGGTCGCCTTGGCGGTGACTTTGGCATGATTTTGACCGAGCTGGGGGAAGAAGATACCGAAGACATGGCCTACGAATGGGAGGAGGTCATGCGCAAACATCGAGCCTTGGCAGGGCGTCTGGAGCAATTGACCAGTCGGGTGCCGGTAAATTAACATTCATATACCCTAGCAGAAGTACAATGCCATTTCGAGATGGCGGTGGCACCTGGTGGGGTCTGTGTATAATAGAACATTATAAAGCGCTCTCATTTTTTCAGCCTTCTCGGCAGACTGTCTAACTGACACTACCAACATACAAATGCATCCAGATATTGTATACCTCGTTCGCCCCAAGGTTCCAGCTATGCTAGCAGTAGTACTTCATCGCCTACTTACCTGCACATGTTACGGTACTCTGGCCCGGTGCATGCATAGAGAGTATAGTGACATAGATCGATGAGCCCTTTTTGTTCGTACCATTAATTCTAATGTTTTCCAGCATACCCAAGCAGAAATCTGAGAAATGGTGACTCGAATATCCTTGAAACGTTCAACAATGGACGACAATGAACTACAGCAAAGAATCGGATGCCAGAACACACAGCAATCTGTGGGTTTCTGTGCCCTGCTATCTGATTCTAGTGTATTTCTATGTTCTGCTGCTTGTCTTCGCATTCCTGATATGCACTTCCTGTGGGACGTTCTCCGTCATCATCACGTCTGCGTTGGTAGAGGGTCTGAGCCGGCTGCCCTTCGAATTTTGCGGCAATTTGTCTTGCTCTGGTTATTCCCACCACTGTTGACGAGGCTATCGCTCAGTCTAGCTGTCACCTCCAGGTAAGTGAGTACACAGGTGTATGTGGCATGTATTTTCATGCCGTTCTGAGTCACTCCAGGTGGGTTCGGGCAAGATATCCTTGCCTGGACTATTGGAACAGCCAAGGGACAGTAATTAGCCAAGAGGTTGGAGGAACAGAATTGTATACATGGGTAACATCGAGCTAACCATAGCGTTGCCCACAGTTGGTTAGCCCTCAGAGATCTATACGAACTGGAGCCTCCTAATAACTTCCCCTTAGCAAGGATTAGTCTCTGTGTGAAGAATACAATACGCTCTCCTCTCCATCACTGAATTACCTGCCTGACCAACAGGTGCTAGCCTGAAAACTAGTATTCTTGACATTTTAAAATCAATGTACTATGAATTTGTAAAATACCATATTAAATACCACGCTAATTTATACGCCAAAAGATCCACTGTGGAGGTGGGCTAATCCCTCATAGTTGGACTGTTGTAGGGAAGATGTCGATTGTTGTGATGGAGTGGAAGGGGCTTTTGTAGGTACTATCAAGCAATATCAGAGCTTATAAAGGGCTGTTCAAGGCTCACCTCAGTTCCATGTTGTAATTGCTGGGTTGTACTTACTCAGTACAACATATGTGCCAAGCGGATAGGACTAATGTAAAAACCCTGAGTCTTGCAGTCTCAATCAATAATATGTAAGGAGTACGGAGTACATAGTTCGATGATCTTGTCGATCTTAATATCACGCAGCTAACCTACCCACATCAGTGGAGAAACTAAGTGGCCCTATAGCGGGTCTATTCCATTCCGAAGAAAATACTCCGTACCCCGTACGGAATACAATTCAGGAACAGAGCGGGATTATAAACGCTGGGAGAGAAGAGGCATTTATCGCAATCAATCCCGCATAGGCAAATAGACGTATCGAGTTGATGCACGAGTGATCACATTAGCGTTGAGCTGCTCAAGAGCAAATATGCAGTGACCAAACCTAGAAAAGCCGAATCTCTTCAGCCCTGGAGATTTGCAATTGGTCACACGACTACTGTTGGATCCACTCTACAATTATTGGCTCAGTTCCTACTCGATCTCATTCAGCTGAAGGAAATCGTCTTGTGCAGGCCTGCCAAGGTGTGGGTCTCGAATCTCACAGATTCATGCTCATGCCCTATCACCTGCATCTGTGATGCACCTACCAAGTAGATCACAAACTATTGATTGCTTTACGGAGTACTCCGTATATTACTCCGTTCTCTGCCTCCTACTAGTACTCGCCCGGTTTGAAATCAAATGGAAATAAGGACAAGTGAAATAAAATCAATGGTAGCCAGGTTGGAAGAAACAAATTGACTGGAATCCTATAATACTTCTAGATGTCAGGATAATTATTCTAATATTGAGTAAATTAATGCTACCTAGGTACGGGGTACGGAGTAAATTCAAATGTTGTCTCTCATTTTCCTAAATAGGAAGCAATGTGCATCTACCTTTTTGTGGATGATACGAGCTCAGCTAACACAGCTGGGTTCTTCAGACGCCCCTCGGGTTCTTTGAGGAGTACGGAGTAATTATTCCCATGATTAATTGAAATTCACTCTCAAATAAGCCATGATTGGAGTTCAATCCGAGCTCAAATTGTCAATAAATTCGACGTTTCATCATTTCACCACACACCATTCGCTTCTCATCTTACTCCATACTTTGCAGTACTCCGTTAGGGTAATAGAAAGAGAACAGCTGTAATCCTTGCAGGGGCGGATGAGTTGCGCGAGGGATGGAGAGGGGTTGAGAAGCATTCAACATATTGTAGGCCATTCCATTCGACCTTGTATGTACTACCCTATACGTAGTACTACCCTGTGAGTAGGATATGCTGGACTCTCCAGAAATGTTAGCCTACAAATCGGGTAATGATAGGGTGGAGTAGCAAGGGGAAAAATACCGGATGCTAAGGCGCGTGGCTAACCTCTGGAAGAAAACCGTAGGCCAGACCCATCTGCTTGCATAGCTTAGGTGCATAATATAGCGCTGTAGATCGCGAGATTGGAAGGTCAATGCTCCTTGGCACTTTCAAGTACAACATATATTGATGACTCTATCTCCTTTCTTAAGTAAATCCACAGATTATCAGGATACATCTCCTAATCACCATGCATCTCTCAGCTATAAGCGTGCTTCTTTCGGTTGCTCTAGTAGAGGCTGTATCTTTCGTTACTCCTATTCTGCATAAGCCAAACAAGGTTAGTGGTCCTAATACCCTTTTTTTGATACCCTAGGTTATTTAAATTTCGACGCTCATGCTTCTTAGGAGCCGGATTACCCAGAAAGATGCTACCCCGATCCCTGTAAAGGAGTGACCTACGTGAACTCTACTGCTGTTTGCGGTGACCCACGACTTGGCCCAAAGGACCTCCCTGGATTTTTCCCTCTCTCCAATGAGCTCGAGACATATTCCCGCTTTGGCGAGCTCTGCCCAGTCGAGTTCTTGGAGAAATGGACCCTGAACGCTTCCGACCCAAAGGGTTACTGGATCTATCCAGACGACGACGGATTTGCCATCACAACCGAGAATGTGTCTATTCTAGGGAATTTCACACTCCGCGTGGGCCAGAAGCTTGACAGATTCGGGTCTGAATTTGGAAAGTTCCTGGCACCTCTTGGAGCTCCTTATATCGAGCGATCCCTGCCACCATCCAATCTTTTCGCGCCGCCCCACAGCAGCTTCCCGTACAACTACCATGTCTACGAGGTGACCAAGGAGTTTGATATTCTCTTGGGACCCATTGCGCCTTGGTTTGAGCAGCCCGGGTTTGGATCGCAGCTTTTGGCTCTGTCCAGTGTGGCAGATCTGTTGGAAGGGGGATTCTTGAAAAGACTGGAATTGAAAGACTATGATGAAGCTGATGAATACTCTGCGGGTTATCTGCCTGCTCCCGAAAAGCCTTCCACCTAAGTATGTCTTGGGGTTGAATGTCACAGAGCAAGACCGGGGATTATTTTCGGGGCATTGAATTCTCTTTCTTCCAGTATATGCTAGTTATAAATTTTTTTTAATAGCCAAATGCAATGCCACCAATAGCTTCAGGGCATTCATGCCCTGCGACTCTACCAAGAAGGGGAATTAAGCGAAAGGTCCAAAGTTTTGAAAGTATGTGAGTAGAAATCTTATACTACGGAGGGAAAAAGGGTACTTAGCTTTATCAAATCCAAGGTAAAAACTGAGATTAGGATAAAATGATTAGGTACAATTAAAAGGCTTTCAAATATATTCCAAGCGCCTAGCTCCCAATATCAGAATGGAATGGCATTACTAATCTTCTGATTTAGCTCCACTGGGTATCCTAACATGCTACTTTTTGTTAGTCTGGATATTAAGAAGTAGCAGGACAGCAGGACATACTCCTTTCCAGTTTGAGTGCAGCAGCAACCACAGAATATCGATGCGGGGTAGCAGAAGATCTAATAAAGGGTTGCCATTAGCCTGGAGCTAAGCAAGAGAGACTTATGCTGTCGCCCGAGAAGATACTATATTTACTTACCGCTGCTACGATGGTAGAGAAAAACCCTGTTCATTTCGTCAGACATAAGGTCATTTTCCAGCGATTCACACTGCAGAAGAACTGAACTTACCGACTGTCGGGCCGACCACCTTACAGCGACATGGGTTCTGATCAGTGCCGCATTGAAAGCAGATAGGGAAGATCGGAAAGAAAGGGACGTCACACATCGTGTCGGATTTGGCTGAGTAGCTGGGTCTTGAACTGGAATATGTAGAGAAATGTCCCGGCCTTCATCCAGACAGGTTATCCCAAAGAAACGAGCTTCCCCGGATGGAGGATTCACCGCCCAGTTACATTGTAATCGTGGGTTTGAGATTCTATCATGATGACGCAGATGAGATCGAGATCCACCGATCCGTCTTGTTTTAGGTAGTACCTAGGTAGTGGGGAGCTTTAGTTCATGTTGGGGTATTAGAGGTGATCTTCGTAGTGATCACAAACAAAGATAATGTATGTTGGTATATCCGATCAAAGTAGAATAAGTCTTAAGTATGTACGAAAATATAGCTCAGATATCTTCCGGGCTAAAATTAATCTCAAAAAATACCCCATAGACTGGGCCAGCCCTGGAGGGCCTCCCGCTGAAAATGACTCAGCAAGTGGCTAACTTGGAAAGCCACACCAGGACACAGCCACGATGCGTGCCGTTTCCCCTCGAATCAGACGTCACTCTCGAATCTAAAAAAGGACCGTTGAAACACAGCAAGGTCTCAAACCCCTGAGTCTCAGGTTCTCATATTCAGCCTTCCCCCGCTGGAATTTAAACAGCATTCCTGACGTGAGGAAACATCCAGATCCACTCCAGGCAGCAACAGTGCCTAGAAAAGACCCAAGGCTGCAACTATTTGCGACAAGACACCTGTTTCTTGGCATATAATCCATTGTTTTTTTTTTCACCCCGTTTTTTCCCTTTGATTCCACCCGCCCTAGTCTCCGGATCTTCGCCTCGTTTTTCCCAATTCCAAAAATCGCGATTCACTAGGCTACCCTCCGGTACCCCGATAAACAAACCCCCACCATGGGCGCCCGCAATCTCGTTCCCCTCATCCTGCTCCTCGTCTTTGTTGGCATCCTTGCCGCAGTCGGATTTGTCGTCTACAGCATCGTGCAGGATGTAGGCAAAAACACGCGCGAAAAGATGGAGCGCAAGAACATTGCTTTCTCCAAGGACGGCATGAAAGTGCAAGTAAGGGAGGTCAAAGATGAGGCCTACAAGGACCAGACCCAGAGGTGCGTTTTGTCTTGCTGTGCTCTTTTACTGCCCTTACGTGTTCGCGCCGACTGACCCAATAATTCCCCCATAGTGTCCTCTTCAACATGTGGAACCACACTTCCTTCCCCGCTTACAAGAGCCGGCTGTGGGATATGGCTGGCTCGTCTTCGTCGGAGCAGCAGAAGGGTGCCGAGAAACGCAAGTAGTATGTCGGACCTGCATCTTTTTTGGTTATGTTTCTGGTTCGACTGACCTGACTCGTTCTTCACCAGGTTTCGCAATGAACACTTCTTCACTCGCTCATTTACACTGGACATATTTTCTGCTTCTAGCCCCATTTCATCTACAAGTTTCATCGGATGCTCTAGTCCCTGGCAAAGGGCTGGTCCCCGAAAATAGCGTGCACTCCTGCTTCGAGAGATGAACTTCTTTGACATTTCCACCTTCTTGTTGATACCTATTTCTGATTTATGGTCTCGGTCAAGGCTTCATGAGTGATGGTCAGCCCTGATATATGATCTCACTTTCCATTTCAAACCTCCGATCACTATGCGTCGTACATTCCAGATTCTGTTTCGTAAATCAATAAGCGTTCTAAACTCGAGTCGACTATACTTTGAGATCGCGTCTGGTTTAAGTTGTTCAGTGTACTACATACTGACAAATCAAGGTTTGAGTTGGTGTCGATGACTGGATTGTATTCTCATGGTCTGGTAAATAAGTGTATTAGGCATCGTTCCATTGAACTGATATTGATATCATAGAACGGGAGATCCGCATTTCTAGCCGGAGATCTCAAGGATCATTCCTCAGTTTTCCACTATAGTTGCATTATCAATATAGCAACTCTCCATTTTCATCTCTTATGCTTTAGCCTGGGCGTTGCGACGTGCATAGTAGCTCTCATCCTGGTTCAAAAGGAAGAACGGTTCCGGTTCCGGCTGCCCACTACCACCATACCAGGTTGGCTTAACCAACGTCCTGGGCGTATCGTCTCGCCGCTTGTTGGTGAAAGCCGTTTCGAATGTCTTGGCCCACTGGACTCTGTTGTTTAAGCCCTCAAGCCCCCACAACTCCTGCAGGAAATGCAGGATTGAGCTATGGGTGTAGGCCGAATCGTCGGCGTACATGGTGCCTTGATCGTGGATGAGGAGGTTGGCCGGTACCCAGGGTGAGATTATGAAGGCAGGGACACTATGATAAAAGGATAAGCCGAATACTCGTGTGGTGAATCTCAGATTGGGGTCAAGATGCATACCGGACTCCCAGACGTGTGAAGTCGTATGTGAAATTGTGGTTTGATGACGTGCCCTTGAAGGTGATACCGTCTTCGGGTTGAGGCACGTTGACTGGAGTGGGGACATGGTCAGCAAACCCACCGTGCTCATCAAAGTTAATAATCAAAACACTGTATTCGAGTGTTAGTATTCCCGCACTCAGCATGGGGATAGCGGAACTAACGCATTGTCCCAGTACTTGGAGCGACGCAGCGCGTCGTACAAGTGCTTGACCATCTGCTCCCCTGCTGCCATACTGCTGGTAGGATGCATCGAGTCAACTGTACAGCACTCCGGGTTCAGGTACGAGAATGAAGGCAGTGTGCCGGCTTCCAGGTCATGGTAGAGCTCCGTCGCATGGACGAGACGGTCCATTGCGTTGTCTTGCACCCACTTGATATTATCGTCAGTAATGGAGCTGACACTTGGATGGGTATAGGAAGTGACTGACTTTATACATGAAGCCATCGACGATGTCAGTCTCGTAGTACTACATAAAAATGTTTAGCCAGCTGTCAATATAAAGGAACGAGACTTATCTCACATTCTTCCAGCTTATATTTTTCTTGCTGAGCGATTCAAAGATCGAGACCGCACAAGTAGTTCCAGTCACATTGTTCCAGAACCCAGCGGACTGATCTGTGTTATCGACAAAACCACAGGACGAGCCTGAGGTTGCGAATTGGCGATTAGGGTTAGTGGGACCCGGGTGCTCGGCGAACTACAAGGTAGGGTCAGCGGTCAGTTATCTGCAATATATTCAAGTATAGACCAAAGGATGACCCACATATGAATCAAAGAAGGCAAAATTGCTGGCCAGCTCCACCAGAGTAGCGGTCTTCTTCTGGTTCAAGGCCTTGATCACGAATGCCGAATCTCCAGGGGTAGCATTGTACTTCTCCGATTGGCGCTCAATAAAACCTGCCATATTAGGGATATCCTCTTTTGTCGGGTTCCACTGGCGGAAGATTTCATAGGTGACTCCACCAAAGTTGTGGTCTGGGTCTTTTAGTGGCACCTCGGTTGCATCCGGCTCAGCGCAGATTGCTAGTGGCTCCCCATAGACTGTCCAATTGGGATTGGTGTAGTCATTGCAAAAGGTGAGATTGCGCAAATTGTCAATGTCGGGATGGAAGTCCCAATAGCCGGCGATGTTGTCGAATGAGTGGTTCTCAAGAGTCAGATAGATGACATGCTTGATCTGGGAGTACTCTTATAAGCCATCTGGTCCTTCGGGATTATAGATGCTGTGCAGTTTACTCACATTCTCTCGCAGCTGGCCCCACACCTGAGCACCCCCAGTTGGATAAGTGGATACAAGACCGGCCAGAGCCGTTAGAACAACGAAACCCCAGTAGAAAATCATTGTTACTTTTGTTCAATATGAGACTGTAAGCTCCTTGGGGTACAAGTGCAAATAATTAAGAAGCAAAAGAAAGGAAAGAAGTGAAAGAAATATGTTTGCAACTACCTTCTTGCCATCTCTAATCTTCTACATCTACCTGTACCGTGGGGTCCTAGAGGTGAAGGTCATGCTCAGCAGGCTATCAGTGTTCCTTGTGGATTCAACATCCACACAGAAATAAAACCCATCATCAGACTTGGTATTCTCAACACTGGTTTATCTGGATTGAGATGACCTTTAAGAGGGGTTGTGATCTGATATACCATGTTAGAGGAAAACAGAAGTTCCCGTAGCCCACGTGGTGACGGTTAGAGAATCTCCAGGCCAATGTGACCAAGTCTAAGCGATATTGCAACTAACATTAGAATGTCTAGTCCTCTTTAGGGCTGGCAACGGGTAAAGTTTATATTGACACGTGAGCCGTGAGTCTGTCCACGGGTGGACAAATGAGTGATTAGAAATAACAGGTTCTGATTGGTCCCGTACCTCAAGTTAAGCAGCGGGAGTCCCTTTAAAGGACCCACATGGACCCACACCAAAAGCTGGTCCTCCTCGAATCAGCGTTGCACGTGCCTTGTCCATGAGGGGAATGCCAAGCACGTTGTCTTCCTGGGTCACTCGATAGGCTGTGGTCAGCAATGGGTGCTGATCACTTCTTTGTCAATATGTAAGGTTGAAAGCATGGGAAACCTCATGACTGCACCGCGTGCTCTAACTGGCTAATTTTCTAATCTTGCTGCATCTCTCTCTTTCACTTAAACAAACATTCCCAAGTCCCATTCAAGGGATACTGCAAGGTTTCCTTTCAGTCCTCAATTCCTCCGATCTCACCGTGTTAATCAATTCCCTAAACCGACCTGATGTCAAGTTATATGGCCCTCCCCGATCGCAGCCCTTCTTCGGAGGATGAAAAGGACCCTCGTGCTCAACTTCGACCAGATGTCGAGGCAGGGAACAACACAAACCGTCACAATGACTCGGAGCGAAGGCCTTCCCGCTTCATCGACGGTCGCACCGTGTCCGATGCCATCATCGGTCTTTCCGACGGCATGACTGTGCCTTTCGCCCTAACTGCTGGATTATCTGCATTGGGCGATACCAAAATCGTGGTTTTCGGTGGACTCGCAGAACTCATCGCAGGAGCCATATCGATGGGACTCGGTGGGTACCTAGGTGCTAAAAGCGAGGAGTAAGTCTACCTAAATTCTAAGAACCTACCTCTTATGAGAAGCCCTAGGAAAAATTCCGGTGGTTCGATAGCTGACATGTTCATAGGGAGTCATACAAAGCTACCTTGAAAGAAACTAAGACGCAGACTATGACGGATCCCACGTCTGTATCTGACACCATCTCCGACATTTTCGAGCCCTATGAGTTGCCTTCTGAACTGGTCGCACAACTCAAAAATCATCTATCTGACTCTCCTATGCTTCCATCCTTTCTCATGAACTTCCACCACACGCTTCCCGAACCCTCAGGCTCGCGAGCTATCGTTTGTGCCTGTACAATTGCCCTCGGATACTTTATCGGTGGATTTATTCCTCTCGTACCATACTTTTTCGTCGGACCCCATGAAGCCTTCATTGCGCTACGATGGTCCATTGTTACCATGGTCATTGCGCTGTTTATCTTCGGATATGTAAAGACATGCTTTGTCAGTGGCTGGCGTGGTCGTCGAAATGTCCGCAAGGGTGTCATTGGAGGTATACAAATGGTACTGGTGGGCGGTATCGCCGCTGGTTCTGCAATGGGGCTGGTGAAGGGCTTCCAGATGCTGGCTGATGGTCCTGAAGACCACAAACATGACTGAATGGTCCATCAAACATTCTTTACTGTTCCACGGTGTCGGCGCTGAGCGGCTTTTTTTTTTACAACGATACATCGGCTGGCGTTAGGGTTTGTTTCCTCTTGATTTGCAAACTGCGGAACTAAAATCGAATGAGGACTTTGATTCGGTCACTCAATGGCTGCTTTCCTCCCAGTCAATATTTCTAGCAACAATATAGCGGCCATTAATACTGAGATCTTGTTTCACCATGATATCGCCAGCCCTGACATTGCCAAGAGTAAGAACCGACACCTGCATAGCGCAAAGGCCTTCAACCACTAGAAGAGAGCTCACTAGCTCCACTGTGTTGCTACCATGGTTAGGTGCCGAAAAGGGAGGTGCCGAAAAGGTCAAGTCGCTGAGTTCTTGAGTTCTTTTGAGGTGGTGATGCGTTTCGACAATGCGCAATCATCAACATGACACTCCTTTGCACCCTCTCCACAGACTCCGCCAAGCGCCTTGCCATAATCGCCTAATGGCAAGGATACCAGGGTGCAATGTATCACATCACACATCAGAAAGGAGAACACGTCCTATGCCAGCCCTTCCTGCTTCCCATGAAGCAAATCTTTCTGCTTCTCGTAAGCCGCGTCTTTGCTGTTCACTATCGCTTCTTTTTCTAGTGCCTCTAGAAGATCAAGCACGTAGTCTTGGCAATTCCAGCCTCGAATCTCATTGTGAACGGTGACTTGACTGGCGACTGTCGTGATGGAGTTGATTTCGGCGACTTCCACATCGCATAGGGGAAGCAACTCCACCAATCTTTCCGATTGTCGAACATCTGTTGTTTCCAGCTCATAGCGGAATCGACCATCTGAACCCGCCACTTGGAGGAAAATTTTGTCTTCTTCCCGGGGTGCATCGATGAAAACACCCCAGTGTTTGTAAACGCCCTCGCTGATGCTGATGGCGACATAAATTGAAACCGTCGACGACATATTGAATGCAATAAATGGGAAGGTAGTTCTGTGGGCTTTTAGAAATTTGCATAAAAGCAGTATTTTTCCGCAGTACTTCCTCTAATACGTGGGATGATTATTGAACATGGGGCTTTGAACTGACGTGAAAAAGAAGATAGTGATTGCAAGTCACAATATGTATATCAACATTTGAAATATTTAGACAGCAGAATCTTAAGATAAGAGCCGAACATAATGCACAAGCCATCGTCATTTTGGTCTTGGTTGCCGCGGCATATCCAATGAATGATGAGAGAAGCGCTTAGTTAGGCAAAAGATGATTACAGCATTACTTGTTCAAAAGTCAGCGCATGTAGCAAGCCTACATTAGACTCTCTAAATCTTTACAACTTCTTTTTGTCTCAGGGAATGATGTAAATACAAAATGTACGATGTAGTCATTTTTCCCCACTGACCGCATCGCGTTTGCGGGGACGTGGTATGATAGCCTGGTAGGATCGACGACGCAGAAACGTCGATCATAGTATTTCGTATCAAACAAGCACGGGCGTGTCAAACGGAAATTACATACTGCTTGAAGGCTATTGAAATGTGTGTGAAATGTAAGCCTGGGCGATGCTAAGGGCTCTTGCTATGTGACATAGATTGAGTCTCTGGCATCCGCATATCTTGACAACGACGCAATGAGTTAGGTAGTGAGCTCACCGAGTTTTCATCGAACAAGTAGCATCATAGGGATATCTTACATTCTTGACCTGCACCCAAATCCTGATAAGGCTTAGTAGCAAGGCGAACAAACCTTCCAAGCTTGGAACAGCTTGACCTCATCTCAGTGGCGCAGCTCTACACATCAGCCTTGCATCACTTCTAAGCCTGACAACCCACTCTAGGCAGACGCCTCCAGATACGAATACGAACGTGCGCTGTCGTATTCGAAAGATGAATACATAGTCAACAATATTGTAATAATAAGCCTCAGGATACATCTTACGGAGTAACGACTGCCTATATTGTAAAATGCCCAGGGAGCTTTGACGCTGGATTGGAGATGAAGTCGAAGGGTGATTGGCTGCGGTCGCGCGACACTTGAATTCTGAAACGCATGTGTACCAAAGTCAAGGGGTAGAAAGTATATTCAATCATAGCTGTGCCTGCCGTCTTTGGCAATTTCTTTTTAACCGCAGAGATTATGTACACTGGTTGTTGTCAAAACCAGGAGGGGTTATCCGTTATCCCCTGAGGGCCTGCACATCCTCATCTTAAGCGCTGGCCCCATGTAAAATGGCCCTAACAGTGTCAAGCTTACTCCGTACGTTTTTTTACCTAACCGGTTTAGGTTGTCAAATCGGGACTATCGAGTGCTGATCGTGTGTGGCTCAGCCACATAACCGAGGCTGAGTTTCCTTAATACCAATGCATACTACGGAGTATAGAGTACGGAGTACGGGACGGAGTACGGAGTATAGCATCTAGACGTTGGCCGTTGCCGATAGCCTTAATATGAGGAGGTAGCTAGTGCTGCTTTGAATCACCAGGACGACGGTTGAGGTAGTAAGATGTTACAGGCTGTGCATAAGCGAAATTAGATAGTTCTGATCGGTTTCAATACCGGGACTAAACGATGGGGGCAAAGAAAGCAACAGCCAATCAGAGTCCGACGATGGATCTTATATGGAGAATTTGCGAAAATTTGCGAAAATTTGCGTTCCAGCTGTAATTTTGAAGCGCCGGGACCATATGATCCTTGGAAGCAATATTAAAATTTAGATTGATGGTTTGAAGCAGTAAAAGTCGTTAAATCGTTGAGGTCGATATAGCGTGATGTTATATCCATATACAATATCAAGTTATACAAATTGTAGACAGAGATATTCTCGGGAGTCTCGGACTCATCTGCATAAAAAAAAAAAAACTAACGTCGGACCATTGGCATAGCGAAGTCCGAGATATGCCCAGAAATGTGATCTCCGTGGCTTCCGTAGCTTCCGAGTCAAATTCTCAGACCGGATATCCAGGACTGTATTATTGAATACAACATACTGCCGAGGGCTCCGGTCAGATTTCAAATATTGCAATAGAAATGAGATGGATAATAAGAAATCCTTATATCGAGTCCTCTCCATGCCTGAAAAGGGAAAAAAGATCACATGGAAACTAAAACCAACTAGTGACGCCATAGACACATAAAATAGGTAAAGTACTACATAGCACCCGTGGACTCATACCACACCAAAATGTAATACCGGGAAAATTACAACCCAAAAGTTAGATGTTGGTAATACCAATACACCAATACTTCAAGTTCCCATGGATGAAATCCAGCCCTTTTCCTCTCCTTCCTTCTCCCATCTCTCTTCTTTAATTCATAATATCTCCGTTTCAGGGCTTTTAAGTGGTCTCCTTGGTTTTCTTGAGTTCTGTTTATCCTGGGTTTTCTCGGTTGCATCCTTTTCTCCTTGCATCCCGACCCTTGTCAACGTGACCTCCTGAGTTCCATGGGACTCACGCCCCTCGGCCCTATCCTTCGCCTTCCTATCGGCCCAACTCAACTTTTCATGAGCCTCTCTTCTGGCCAACGATAAACCTCCTTCCGTTACGCGACTTCCTTCCGTCTCGTCCCGCGGCATTCCTTGAAGTCTCAATCACCCCTTTTCCCCAGTGATCCCGGACCTCCTAGAGGAGAGTCGCCACGAACATGAGCGCCTCCTATCCGTCATGGAAAGATCGCACGCAGAATCAGTTCGGAAAGCTTCAGATCCAAGTGCCATGGCGCTCATTCCAGCTTCTGGTGCCACATCGCATGCGTCGCAAGCTCCGGTCCAAACTCCGGAGCCGCCTCTCGCCCACCTCGTCCATATCGAGGTTGCAAACCTCCTTCTCGCCTGCCGACACCCTCAAATCCTTACAGGCACACCGGTGGACGGTGTATGACTTCCAATACTTGTTGCTCCTCATCATCGGCTTTTTCTCCTTGACAATCATCCAGTCTCCTGGACCACTGGGAAAGACGGCGATCGCCACGGGACTTTTGTGCTCTCTCCTTATGCCAATCACCCGGCAATTCTTCTTGCCCTTCCTTCCCGTTGCTGGGTGGCTTATCTTCTTCTATGGATGCCAGTAAGTTTTGATTTCTTTTGGGTTTCTTGCAGCAGATGCGCCTGCCATAGCCTTGTGTGCGGGTGTATGAACATGGCTAACATGTGTTTCTCTAGATTCGTTCCAAGCGATTGGCGGCCTGCCATTTGGGTCCGAGTATTGCCAGCCATGGAAAACATCCTGTACGGTGCCAACATAAGCAATATTCTATCCGCCCACCAAAATGTGGTGCTTGACATTCTGGCATGGATTCCTTACGGACTCTGCCATTACGGAGCGCCATTCGTCGTTTCACTGATCCTTTTCTTCTTCGGCCCCCGGGAACTACCCCTCTGTATGCCCGGACTCTCGGATACATCAGCATGATCGCCGTCTTCATTCAGCTGGCTTTCCCCTGCTCGCCACCGTGGTATGAAAATCTGTATGGTTTGGCCCCAGCCGACTACTCGATGCAGGGAAACCCAGCTGGTCTTGCTCGCATTGACAAGCTGCTGGGTATTGATCTCTACACTTCAGGCTTCAAGCAGTCCCCTGTTGTTTTCGGCGCATTCCCTTCGCTCCATGCTGCCGACTCTACCCTGGCAGCACTGTTCATGAGCCACGTCTTCCCGCGGTTGAAGCCCCTCTGGGTTACCTACACTCTGTGGATGTGGTGGGCTACCATGTATCTTTCTCACCACTACGCAGTCGATCTGGTCTGCGGTGGTCTGCTTGCCACAGTTGCCTTCTACTTTGCCAAGACCCGGTTCCTGCCGCGAGTCCAGGCCGACAAGATGTTCCGCTGGGACTACGACTACGTTGAAATCGGTGACTCTTCTCGCGACTTCGGGTATGACCTTGCCAGCTTGGATGGCGATTTTAACTTGGACAGCGACGAGTGGACCGTGGGCTCTTCTTCGTCCGTTTCCTCTGGCTCTCTGAGCCCCGTGGACGATCATTACACATGGGAAAGCGAAACTCTCACCTCGAATCACGACATCGAGGCTGGTCGCTAATCCTTGAGCTTCTCTTGCACATGTGCCTCGGCACAGTTTATTTTTGCATCTACTACTTTTGAATCGGCGTTATGTTTGACGACAATGTTTGGAACATTATCTGCATCGAGCAATCTTCGACACCTTAAGGTTTTTAATAAAACCTCCGGTTCGCGCGGTACTTCCGCCTCGAGCTGAAGGTACTCTTCACCTTCTGGCTGTACATGACTCGCCACCCCACTTTGGGCTGGCAACTCCGTCTATAATATTAATACCGGTGGTGGAAGGGATCGGGCCCTGTTCACATGCCTGCATTCGCCAATCCCCCGCACCGCCACCGCCGCCAACCTTCGCTTGTACACATTCTTGGACGCCCTTGGGCGATCCCCTTTATTTTTCCGACCCATGTCTTTCGCTACGACTTTATGAACTGGGCGAGCCACCTTTTTTTACTCTCGGCTCGTCCAGATGAACAAATATTTTTACCATTCGTGTCGCTCGCTCATCATAGGCGCCTGGGAACTTCTGCTCTGTTTTTTTGGAGATAAAAAGGTTCGGCGCTTTTTGCTGCACCACCACTCGCTGTGCACTAGAAGGATTTTTGAATATTGGCTGTTTTATGACATTTTGCATCGGCACATGAAAGACGGGTTTTTCAAAAAGATCGTCTCGATCTACCCTCTGTCTGTGTCTACCTCGCCTGGCAGGTGATTAATCGGCGTCGATATTGTGTGGCTTCTTTCCGTGTGGATTCGACACGAAAAGATCCGAGGAAAGGAAATAAGGGGGACACTGAAAGCTGGGGCTCTTGTTTTCAGAGCTCAAGTGTCCATGGCAGCCTAGGGTGAACGAGATCTTGGTACTTTGACGGAGGCCATTTCTCCACCCTCGAGCTTCGCCCATTCTCTTCGCTTCTGACTATTGAGGATGAAGCTGACCCGACAACTTATTGCATCTACACCTCCTGTGACACACTCTATACGACCCAGATTGGGTTGTGTGCATGCCTCTTATCGTTACTGTTGGGGGCGGTGGGATCCTGTTGGGTATCGCTAGCATTATTTTTAATCACTAGCGTATGAATGAATCATTGTACATTATTTACAGTTCTGGGTTTTCTTATTGTATACATTAAACGAATCTTGTAGTTTACATCATTCAACTTAGCTTGCAGCTATTCGAACCTTCCAACGTGAAGAGAACCGGCAACCCCGCGAGTGTGATAACGACCGTTGATCCACACAGGAGACGGGACATCTTGCGGTCCTTGCATCTCACGTGGGCCAATAAAGACTCCAGCTCCGTCGATCACACGGGATCAGTTGCTGATACGGAGTACAGTAGCTTGCATAAGTCCCTATTTTTAGGGGCTAGGTAAGAAGCTGTATCCGTGCTTATCCGTGATACAAGAAGTGGCTGGGATTTACATACGGACCTGTTGACATGGTTTGTTTGAGTATTCTAGTATCATAAGCTATAATTGAACAAAAATATGTATTGCCATAGAAAGAAATATAATGTGTTCATATAAGGATTTGTTATAAAGAAATGTACAAAAATGCTGGATCATAAGCAAAAACCCCATCCGTCTAGAAAAGCATTCCAGATGTCTAAAAAGAGGTACATATGTGTGTGTATCAAAACGCAAGCCAAATAAAAGAACAATTACTCAGAACAGTCGTAAGGGACCCCCATTTGATCTATTCTTCGTCAAAGATTTGTACACGATCCGCATACTCGCGGATTTTGGAGAAGAAAGTCTCTTCGATTAAATCGCCTTTGCCGCCAGCGACACGGAGAAGAAGGTCGTTGAGTGAGGCACGGCCTAGGATATCCACGTGGTCACCTATATGAAGTTAGTCGCCTGCTATCTAGCATGGGAAAAAGCAGACAAGGAGCAAAGAAGAACATACCAGTGTTGGGACCACCGCGGGGCGAGAAACGATCAGGCTCGTGAGGCATCTCAAAGACCTTGATCTTTGTGCCGGCTGGGTTATAACGCTTCATGCGCCAGCCTTTGGCGCACATGTAGCCTGTGCTAAGCAGGTTCACGGTGCCATCGCCCTCACCCATTAAAACGCCGCGGTCGACGCCCTCGTTGTTGGTGATGGTGGTGTCCATGCTGACCTTGAGGTTGACCAGTGGGTCGGGCTCTTCCTGGTAGAAGTAACTGCGCTCCGTGGGTTTGCCCACGCCATAGAAGCAATATATCTTCATGTCTGGGGCGAGGGGCAGGCGGGACTCTAGAGGATTAAGCCAGGTGCGCGGGTCCTTCTCGTTGGCTTCGACCTCGCGTTTCGTATGCGCGACGCCGTGCGAGTAGCTATTCAGAACCTGGTTCCGGTACCAATCCTCACTCTGGTCCAGGAGGTACTGAAGACTCTCTGGCATGGTGAGATTGCGTTCTGTCAAGGATGAGTTGCTATCGTGAAAGTGGAGCAGGTTGCCAAAGGTCAGGGGCTGACCTGGCTGGTCATCCGGTGCCCAGGTCGAGTTTCCCCATATGGCCTCGCCACCTTTTGGTAGCATGCTGGAGATACCGGGCATCGCGCGGAAGATCTCCGCGCGTTCCTCTTTCGACAGGAATTTCTCCAGTCCATACACGGCAAAGGCGTTCAGCTGCGCTGTATCCCGCATTTCTCCGGACAGAACGGCAGTCAATCCCTTGACGGCGCCCAGCATGCAACCGCTGATGTTGACCCACGAGTCGATATGTTTGTTAACCCAGTCCTTGCCGCCCTTTCCGTGCTCCTCGCTCTCTACCCACTTGAAGAAATACAACACCACCTGAGACCCCATGCTGTGCGATGCCAATGTGATCTTCTCGCCCTGTACCTGCACCGCGGTCTCGATGTAGGACTTGAGTCGAGTGAAATATTTATCACGAACTTCGAGGTTGAGATATGAGAGTCGCCAGTCGTACGCAGCCGTAAACGCATTGGTCGGATCATAGCCAATGGTAGCCAGGTTCTCCAAGATTTTATTCCATATCCAATACCCTGTGATAAAGAAATCCGTGGCATCGAATCCTTGCGCCGCACGGAGCTTAATGCCAGGCGGGTCAAGGCCCGTATCCCGATCGAGCATGACATGGTTCTTCCACTCAGCTTTATCCATGACTAACGCTCTCATCATGCTCCAGCTGCCCCATAGTCGTCGACGGAAGTATTGTCGCGAAGTTTCCCCCGTGCCCCAGCTCTCTAAGCCAGTTGAGATAACTCCGGGGATCATCACGACGGGGTGTTTGGCTTCTACGCCCATGGCGCGAAGTTGTAGCCCAACAGCAAACGAATCATAGCTGACGGTATCGCGTTCATGTTGCTATGTCCCAGTTGGAAGTCAGTCAGATGGTAACCACATGTAGAGATAAGCGCATTCCCTTGGAAAGCACGTACCGAGAATTCCTTCACATCACTCACAATTCCCTGTGGAATGGCCTCAATCCATGAGTCGAGATTCAGGTCCATGAGCGAATCCAGGCTGATGACCTCATGCTGGTTCGCGAAGAACAAGGCGATGAAGATGCCGAAGATCCCGCCCAGCATAAAGATGAACCCATTGCGACGTTTACTCCGTGGCTTTATAACTAGCTGCGTGACTTGTGTATCAACAACCTCCGCACGGAGCTTTTCTTGCTCAGCTTTTGTCCCGTTAACTTTGTCAGAGGGCGGGACCTCGTCCTTGCCCGTGCGGCGGCGGAGCATAGCGACCAACCGCGAGGGAGGGAGTAGAAGGAGAGGACCTGGTCGATTTGCCTGGAAGATTAAATTAAGAACAAAACCAACAAATTTGAAGAAAAGAAAGAAACAAGAGAGGGCAGGGGATAAAAAAAACACGGAAGCGCATGAAGTCCGCGAACGGGCGGATCGGCATCACATGGCACAGAGTAACTTTCCTCCCGGACGCATCCCACCCCCTCCCTCCGTCAACTCCAACCACTAGCCCACTTCGATGACATCGCTGTGATGAGCAATGCTCCCGATCTTCGCTACGTGCGATATGAAAATTCGCGCGAAAATGAGTATGTCGCCGCAATGCGCCAGCTGATCTCCAAAGATCTGTCCGAACCTTACAGCATCTACGTCTACCGCTACTTCCTATACCAATGGGGTGACCTGTGTTTCCTCGCGATGGACGATAAGGACGAGATGGTCGGGGTCGTGGTATCGAAGCTAGAGCCACACCGTGACGGCCCGCTGAGAGGGTATATCGCCATGCTGGCCGTGCGCGAAGAGTACCGGGGCCGGGGAATTGCAACCAAGCTAGTGCGCATGGCTATCGATGCTATGATCGAGCGGGATGCAGATGAGGTATGTCTATACAGCGGATATGGCTGCTAGTTCCCAAACGGGGTGGTCTCGAAGGTATGGTGGCTGACTTGTACATGTTTGGGCAGATCGTCCTCGAAACCGAAATCACCAATACTGGCGCGATGAAACTGTACGAGCGGCTGGGTTTCCTTCGTAGCAAACAGCTGCACCGATATTACTTGAATGGCAACTCGGCCTACCGGCTTGTGCTCTATCTCAAAGAAGGTGTGGGCGCGATTCGGACGGCACTTGTTGATCCCTATGGTCTTCCACAGCCAGTGTATGGTCTACCTGACACGTGTGGAGGGCATTCTCATGCGAATATGGGGTCATTGATTTGATTTTTGGTTGTTAGCAGCGTTATGAAGTTTTCTCGTTGCTCTGTCAAGCTGTGCTGGCATGACGTGTCATGATAATTTATGGGAAATGACCAGAATAGTTATACTTCACACGAACTGGCGTTCTTGTGGAACTTATACTGTATAGAAAGATAAATTACCTACGAAGTGTACCAAATAGCTAATCTACTCTGGTTGAGGATATTCCATAAGAGGGATGCAATACTTACATATGTACTTTCGTTGGATGCTCAAATCATGGGTCATCGTATCGCATTCGGGGTTACCATGATATCTGCCATATTGGCTTGTTTTGTTTCTCGGGCTCATCTCATTGAGCCCAATCCATTTTTAGTCTTTATATATTGACACCTTTTTGTCTAAAAGTGGCCATAGTGGAGCGCCAGTCGAGGCGATAAGTACTGTCCACAATTCTATGATGTTGAGTATGATGACTATTTCGCGTTTTGCTATGGATTATGTTAGTAAAAACTCCATGTAAGTGCTTCTTTTGTATACGGGACAATACACAGATCACAGACCTTTTGCCACAGTAAAACCTATCTAGTTAGCGACATTAATGACTGCCTATAGTACTTAGGCTGAGCAAGATGCAGATGAGAATTTTCTGCTGTATGCAGATCCGACGATTCCACAATATAATCACAAGAATAGTCGGCCGCTTATGCGGCCTTGACAAGTATATTTTTGATGGTTTTTTACGGTAGTCTTTTCAGATGTATTTTCAGATGTATTTTCAGTGGTCTTTTCAGTGGTCTTCTCAGATAGTCTTTCTAGATATCTGATTTTATAGATATTTCTTTTGTTAGGTAGATAGCAGAAGAAGGCGGAAAAGGGCTTAATCCGATGTCTAACCTTTGACTGGATATATTAGGAGCAACACGTCTGTCAATGCTGACCATACTATAGATGGTATCCGGATTAGACTTTTATTGTGAACGGAGAGCAGGTCTATACATACCTCCGTACCAGGTTGACCGGAAATCTGCCTGTTGTCTATACTCCCTAGCCTGAATCAAGGATCTGTGCATCGAAGGGCTACATCGTGTAAAGAAGAGAGGAATTTAGATATAAACGTCTGCTTTGCTAGCTCAAGTCGTGCCGCTGCCTTAACTGGTGACCATTCCGTGATCTCCCGAATATCTTCATCAGCACATTGTATAGCAGTCCGGTTCCTGACATTTTTGACGTTAGGATCCTCTCCTTCAAGAAGATAATGAACATTGATGTGAAGAAACACTGCCTTGTGCAAAGAGTTTCTCCCATTAAAAAAATCCATGTTCAAGAGGGTTGAGGCGAGGGCAGATTATATCTGCAGGAAAAATAAGAACAATGACTGTACGGAATAAAAGACCTCGGGAGATAATAAAGCCAAAGTCTCATTTAACTTTGCTTTCCACGCTATCCCCGTTATGGTTAACGTCCGGAAGATCAATGCGATTGCGGATCATCCGTTCTCCATATACTCGCCATTTCCCCGTCTAGATTTTATCATCCCCGGAATCTCTCACACCATGGATTCAGACGCAATCAGACACCTCCGAGGCCCATCTGGGATAAAAAAACCAAATAAACAAGGTCGTCGACCCGGCAAAATAGCCTGTACGGCTTGCCACGCCCGCAAAAAGCGATGCGACATCGCCCCCCCATATAAGCAGTGCACGCACTGTCGCAAAGAAGATCAATGCTGCATCCCGCGAGATTCAAGTGACAGGTATGTAAAACGAACAAAATTACAAGATACTAGCAAGACTTACAAAACCGATTGAAGACCTACAAGACCTACTCGCCAACAAAAGCCCAACCGCCACCACAACAGCCAGAAAGCTACTATAACACACGAACCCCAATTCCACATCAACGGCTTTCTGCCAAAAGGAATCGATCACGAAATACCACGCTGGAGTGCGGTGTATTCGTCCTATTCTGAGATACGACGGCTACTGCCTTCTCTCACTTCCGCTTCCCCTTCCACTTCCACTTCCACTTCCACTTCCACTTCCCCGTTCCCTTCACCCGAGATTGAAGGAGAGATTGCACACACGCAAACTGCACCAAGCGAGAGAAGGCAGAATGTGTCTTCGTCGGGGTTCGAATCTTCGAGGCGCCTTCAGTCTGGTGTTTTACATAGGGATTGTGCGGAGGCGAGTTCTATAAAGGGGATCAGCATACCTGTTTCTCGGTCTCGGTCTCGATCTCTATCTCCGACACCTGTAGGTGAAAGGGTTGGTTTGGAGAATGCGGTAGCTCGCGAAGCTGAGATCCGGCATAGGGGCCTTGCTTCAGTGGGGGAAGGGAGAGTGCCGAGAGTGCCGAGAGTGCCGAGAGTTCCGAGAGTTCCAGGTGGAGGCCATGATGTTTTTATGAATGATCTCGATGCGTTGCTTAGATTTTGATAGTGCTTATATTGAAAGAGGAGATGTATTCGCTCACGATTGGATGAATGTATTTGTATTCACAAAATGTTGTTCTGGACATTGCAACTCCATGCTTCTATATTTTCAGATAATGTACAAAGTATAAGATACAAGGTGACGGGGAAGTCGGCAAGCTAGAGTACATCAAACAGATACCAGCCAAAACAAGCCCGCCAGATGGGATATTCATGCAACACGCTAGCGTCAAAAAGGTAGAAGGTTCGAAGAATGCGCGAATGATGCAAAAGGGAGGAGGATTGGGAGATTATTGGTCTTTCACTTTGTCTTGGTCTCGGTCTTTGTCTTTGCGAACAACGGGAACTTGAATGGCGTTTTGCATCTTCCAAGTCAGAGGCCGCGGTACACCACGCCATTCCTTGTCCAAGATGGACGCTGCATCCAGCATAATCGGGGAAGGATGCTGGGGGACATAGCGAGTTGCACCAAGGATGATGTCACGCTTAATGAGGGCATTGGCAAGGCGGATTTGGAGATCACGCTTGTCACCCCTGGGCTTCCATCCGATGAGGTAGAGAATCGGATTGTGACGGAACTCGGAGGGGATATCGTTCAGAATGGAGTCCGGAAGCCTGTAGCTTTCATGGTGTACGTCGATACCGATAATGACCTTGCCGGCATCGGAACTCCACAAATCTTTGTTGAGTCTCGTGGGCTTACCAAAGGACGCGTTGCGACATAAGGAAGTCAAGACAGCCTGTTTCATCTTGTAGGTCACGGTTCTTTTCATGCAAGAATATCGCCATATAACCAGGCAAATGTTGTACTGGCGGTGCCTGAATGCGGCCAAAAACAAATCCTCCCAATTTTGAGAGGTTACCTCGAACAAAGGGTGCTCGAAAAACCGGAGGGTATACTGCAAAGCGACGTGGATGTTCGCGCCCAGCGCTTGCACAATATGGCTGAGCGGATAACTGTCAACGGTGAGGTTGTTGTCGATGCAGATTTCCATGAGCCGGTCTATGGAATCGAAATCCTTCAAACGAGCGACCACACTGAACATCTGGCCAACCACGGAAGGGCTGAACCAATTGGCCCCCCATGTATTGGTCATGAGGCCAATGAAGGAACCTATATCTTTTCCACTGTCCAAATGCACTAAAAGCGAATCTTGGATTGTCTCCTGGAGCGCGCTGTGGATGGTGGAAAGGTTGGACATCTGACCACGCTGGACCATATGTTCAATGAGTTGGGCTTTTTCGCTGGGGTCAACCAGGGCGCTGAGCAATGCGAGCCATGTTTCTGGGTTTGGGCGCATGTGTAACCGAGGCATCGTCCGCAGGAAGTGACGGAAGACAGCCACATCCTGACGCCTCGCAGCAGCCCGCAACAGGATGTTATATGTATCAGTGGTAGCCACATGCTCTGTGCATGAACACAAGACTCGGGCAGTTTCAAGGAACTCATGTCGACAAAGGAATTCTAGTGCATTATTTAAGGCCGCAGTCGAGATGTAATTGGAGTATGATTCTTCCATGAATAGCGCCTTCAGATGTAGTTTAATCCGGACCACGTGTGGAAGCTTTGATAGAGACATGGCCTTCTCATCGAGCGTCGGTTGTCTCGCAGATGTGACATCCTCGACGTGCTCGTTGAACTCCTTCACAGTGGCGATAAGCGGACGAGGTAGTAGAATCTCATCCAAATTCGAGCTGCTATCCGACGTTTCACCGAAATGCCAATTTCCACGAATCAACGGTACAGGCATCTTCGAACGCTGCATCGCGCCCCGAGAAATGCACATCGGAACCGGTGGTTTGTGGATATCAACAAGGGGATCTCCCATAGCTTGTAGGCTCTGTGCACGGGTAAAATGCCCTTCCACCAGCGCCATAATATGGTCTGTGGCACTCAAAACGACCCGACGGAGTAATCCCTTGCTCTGACTTACAGGTAGGATGTGCACACGACATCCATTGTGGAGCGGGATGTACCAAATATTCTCTTTCAGGGTATAACGAGTCACACCAGAAAACAGGGCGAGGGTCTCCTCTGGTACAAGTATCTCTTTCTTGTTCGAAGACTTCTTGGGATTTTTCCGGATATCGCGGTGCACTTGGTCCAGAATCTCCTTAGTATCAAACCAAGCATTGTCGAAGAGCTTTGCCGAACGAGATTGATATTTTTTCTTCATATATTCGCGAAACCGCAACTTCTTCCGCTCTCGAATCGATGTATTTCTTAAAAAAAGTTGTTTCTGCGTAGGAGACGAAGGTTTGGCGTTCAGAGGTTTGTTGTGCAGTCTCCCTTTCTGTATTCTCTTCGCTCTCGTCAACGCGAAGCCACGCAGTGGTTCCCGAGAAGTGGCGTGTTCGGCATCTGCGAGAGAATTGACATGTTGTTCCTGACCTGCGGAGAGCCAAACTCTACCACCTTCATTCGAACCATCAGGGCCAGTTTCCTTGCCCTCGCCTATTTTAGAATGTTCCTCTCCAGCCACCGCAGGGGAAGATTGTGGATTTGAATCGTCGGGAGACCGAGAGGAAGACTCAGAGGAAATCCATTGGCGCGAGTGTCGAGAAAGCGAAGGACCGGGGCGGACTGCTGCGCGAAATGGGGCACTGGAAGTATGACCTATCCTCGCTGGAGCATCAATCGGTTTCAGGGAAGATATCCGTCGACGTTGCAAAGTAGGCGCAGCCCAGCGGGGATAGAGAAACAGAAGAGGCTCATCGGGGCCAGTCGCGACAGTGTCCAAGACGGCAGACACACGCCTCCTTAGACACGGGCAGCCACGCAAGAGCATAAGGGACGATGCTCTAATGGCACCGGAGACATGAATGGGAAGGAGACAAGAATTGGGCGCGTTGCTGTTTGAGGTGTTTTTCGATGGACCTTTTTGCCCCGAAAATTGCTGGCCGCCGAACGGGTAGGCGGTGTGCCGGAGCTTGGCTCTGCCGGGTAAGCTGCTATACTTCGCTATGTTATTCTCCGAATAATATCAATTTCGCTTATACAGAGTGGTTTTAATACATTAATAAATGTGACCTTCATGGCCAATCTCAGCAGCCTTGGGAATACCCCTGAAAATCCGCCTCGTCGACCTCGCACGCTCCTCCAAGACAGGTCGCTTAGCCATTAATGTATCATGCTTGGCCGCCGGAGTCAAGTCTAACAATTCCGTTCCTGACTCTCCATGATCATCTTTAAAGACATCCGGTCCGGTAATATGATGCTTGCAAGATTCCGCGGCACGCGAGAGATTGTCTTTCTTGCGTTGGACTGCAGCGTCTTTATCGGAATCGGTGGGAGTTTTGGACAGCTCACTAATGACACCAGAAAGATATGTAACAAATTGCCAGCGGGAGGTCTGGAATAGGAACATGGGCATTATATCTGGTATCTGGTATCCGCCAAATAGTTAGCCCGGTCTCAACATACATTTTAGGGAAAATTGTCCAACTCACCTTGTCGTTCAGATAATAGAGCTCGTCGCCTCCTTGCTCAATAAATTTCTTCAGAGCATCAATCCTCTCTCGATCAATGGAAGCTAATTTCAAAGCATGCATCAAACTGGGTATATCCCCAATCTCATCGATATGTGGCTCCTCATCAACCGTCATGCTCGCATGGTTCAAGAATCCAGATTCCACCCGGGACAGTCCCGCAGTGCTCTGCTCCCGGCCTCTGACCTTGGACGAATGAATTGTAAAATAGTCCTCAGTAAGCATATGCGATTTCTCAAACTCCGAGCGACCAATATTCCGCCGTGCATGGACCTTAGTCCGTAGTCTCACCCACCGTCTCCTCCGAACAAACGAATGAAACCACGGCTGCGTACCATGCCATGAAGACGAGGAAAACGAAAAAGAGTACTGCCACCCTTGCTCATCGGTATCACCAGACATGTCAACATACCATGTCTTCCACGTCCACTCCCAGCTCGGATCAGGCAGCTGGGCATTCGTGATATTAACAGGGCTGGCTCTGCGGTCCTGGGTCATCCAGGGACTGGGATCGAAGTTCAACAGCGAGCTGTGCGAGTAACGTGGGACACCAAAAACGAACCAGCCCCGCTGGTTCTCGTAGAGAACATCCATTTCCGAGCGCGATTTGGTGTCCTCGCGCCCGTTGGTTTGGTCCTCTATTCCGTTCACCTGACCGCTGCCGTTCCCATTATTTGTCGAGACTCGCGACGGCGCAAAGTCAGCTGTTTCGACATCTCTGCCCGCGCTGCCTTCTCCGGCGGAGATTGCTGAGATCGAGTCTCCGCGCACCTGAGACGATTCTCGGCTGGGCGAGTCATTCCTGTCGGGCGCAATACCGAGTCTATCGGGTTGCCATTTTGCGTATTTCCGCTTTGTGAGCTGGCTTTGGACGGATGCACGGCTCAGGTGCTTCGTCAGGCTTCCTTGCTGATTGAGGGTAGATGTGCGCCGTGTAGCTCCTTCGCCGGTGGGTTGCTGTGGGACAGTATTATCCACAAGGGAAATGGAAGGCGAGTTCTCCATGGCCTGTGTGTGGGTGTGTAAAGGAATGTCCTGGATAGTGTTGACGCATCCCAATGGGCTCCTCGAGCCCTGTAGAATATCACTCAGTATGCTCCACTCGCATTATCTATCTCAGGGGGTCGTATCACAGTGAAAGGAGGGATATATAAGATGGAAACATAAAGCTGTATATTATCCTAACAAAAGAAATAAACATAAGAAAGCAAGAAGCAATAGAGAGCGAAAACCCAAAAAAGAAACCTTGGAAAGCAAGTCGATGCAACATCGATGACATCGTTTGCGGGGATGAACGCCAAGGCCATTTCTCCTGCAAATCGCGGGAAAAGAAAAAACATCAACAATCACAATAGCCCACCATGGCAGCACCACATTATCGAAAAGTCGAGCTTCAATCTCCAGCAGACTTCACCTACCTCTACGCCAATACAGTCGCGCTATCGCGCCGAAAACTCGACCTCTACTTCCCCCCTTCCGCAACGGATAATGACACCCCCGATCCGATGCGCGAACGCGTCCGGGAGCTAATCGACGAGGTAAGACCAGAACAACATGTACATCTACGTACCTCCAGACTCTAACCTCAAATAGTATATAAACGAAACCTTCGAATCAGCCTCAACCTCAATCAGCATCAATGGCATAGACTCCACCTCACCACAATTCCCCTTCCCAGCAGCATTCACCGCGCCAACAGAACAAGTCGAGTACGAGGCATACGATACGGATCTTGCGTCGCGTGTGACGTCGCTGTACGCGCAGCTGGAATCGCTCAATACGACTGTCGCGCAGCAGAGACGGGATGCGCCGAGGCGTGCGGCGAAGGAATATGCTGCGCAGTTGAAGAAGATGATTGAAGAGGAGGAAGAGGAATATGAAAATGAGATTGAAAATGGTGGAAAAGACGCCGATAACGATACGGAAATGCGCGCATCTGCGTATGTGCAGCCCCAATCGAATAATGGAAACGAGAACACAACGCCCGGCCAAGGGGCGGATAGTATGGATGTTGATTCTACTCTAAACGGAGCTGAATCGGGGCAGACAGTGGCCCAGGCGCGCTCGCGGCGCCCCCATGGAAATCACGACCCGACGTGGACGTTGCAGGCTGCGCTCGGGACGGAGGAGGAGCAGGAGCGGTGGAAGAGTGGGGATATTGCGAGTGTCTATGAGGATGCTCTGCGGATGCTGCTGCGGTTGCAGGGCGAGGGCAATGCTAATACGGAGGCTGGTGCGGACGGTCATGCGTTGGCAACAACGGTGGGCAAGGCTGAGAGGGCTGGGCGTGCTGCTGAAGTGGTGGAGAGTATGAATAAGTGAGGGCTTTGAGGACTTTGGGGTTAGTTGACTAGCGTTATCTTCTCTGTTATTGTTTTTCTTCTGTTATATTTGGGTACTATTGCAATGTTGGGGGCGTTTCGGGGCCCTGGGCTTGTCCTAGGGATCATGATACCATGTCTTGTTTATTCTTGATGGCTCTGTTGAGTCGAAATCCTATCATCTTTCATTTCTTCAGGCTGAACTCTGTCTGCTATTTCGATAGCAAAGGCAAATATTGTTACTTTATACTCTTACTCCTTCTACTGCTACTCACACGTCATACAATATAAGCATGACAAAGACCCAACGTCCAAGATATGACAGCTACTATTTCAATATGTGCTAATTCGTGTATACACAAAGAAACAACCAAGCTAAACACCATCTTCACACCAACTCGCTTTTAAATTTCATCACGTCCTGTCCCTTCTATACTGAGAGCAGTGGCAGCACACGCTGCTTATCTTGATAGGCAAAAGTAAAAAAAAGAAGCAAGCTCTCCATGATATCTAGATCGGAACAAAAAAAAGCAGAACGCAAAAAGCGAATGTAGAGTAAGGAGTCCACAGGCTGTGGATGGATCGGCAAAGAGGTGTTGAAACTACCAGAAAGATATTCCGGTATGCCTGGGAGGATTGGGGTTGTATTGGGAGTTGTCGGACCACCAGGTAATATTTTTTGAGGTTTTCAGGTTGATCGGAGTTGAAAATAAACCTCCAACATCCTTATCTGGGGTTCTGTTTTCAGTCGCCATATAGAAGGAGATCGTCGATCGGCTTGTTGGCACCAACAAAGAAGACAAGAAAAAGTCCTCAGCAAGCTTAAGCGCTAGTCTGAGCACCCTCCTGGCCCTCAACATCCTTCTTCTCATTTCCGGGGTCCTTATTCTGAACAACAGGCTCAGCAACCTCCTTAGGGGCCTCCTCAGGGGCCTCCTCCTTAGGGGTCTCCTCCTTAGGGGTAGCCCACTTAGCGGGACGGGCCCACTCAGCCTCCTTCCAGGGGCCCATGTCGGAGAGCTCACAGCCACCCTCACACTTGCAAGAGCCGCCGAACTCTTCGGGCAGGTTCTCAGCGGGGACCTGGGACAGAAGCTCCTTCTGGTAGCCGCTGCCGAGGACGTGGATCTTGCTGACGGTAACGGGGTCAAGGAAGCCCTTGACGGCGCTGAAGACGCTGCTGAAGCCCCACGGCGCGTTGATCAGGTAAAGCTTGCCCAGACGCTCGGGGTAGTGGTTCTGCGAGATGTCTGAGGCCTGCTTGACGTATCCGTAGACGGACGGCACACTGGTGATGCCCACGCCCTTCAGGTCCATGACGGTGCAGCAGGTCTCGAGCAGCTTGCCGGCCTTGCGCGAGCAAGCGGGCAGACGTGGGTCAGCCAGCTTCTCGTACTCGCACACCAGATTCTGCAGCATACGGTCGGCAGTGGTGATCTTGTACATCTGGGTCAGGTCGATCTTGCCCAGCTTCTCAATGTAGACGGGGCGGCCATCCTGTTTGGTGTAGGACTATGTCAGTCCTGCATCTAGAGAGAGGCGTAGAAGCCACGGAAAACCAACCTTGTCCGTCTTGTGGTAGTACTGGGGGTAGAACTTGAAGACCTCCTCCTTCTCGGGGTAGTTGAAGTTGCGAGCCAGATCATCAGTGCCGAACTGCTTGCGCCACGCCTCGCTTGTAGTGAACCTGGGATATCAAATTAGACCATTGGGCCTCGATAAAAGCTGAAAGTCAAAAGCCCGTAATAGAAAGCTTTCTGCCAACTCGGCCCAAAAAAAACATCCATGCCCTCCGGCGAGAATCGAGGAACGTACATAGTCTTGGCGGCCTCGACATCAAACTTGCGGGCACGCAGGAACCGCAGGAGGGTCAGTGTATCCAAACGCTCAGTGTAGCCGAGCTTCTCGAGCTCAGCGCGGAGCTGGTGCACCTTTGCATCTTGTTCGGGAGAGGTGTGGCCGGGGTGGCCAGGCTGCGCTTCCGGAGCGGTGGTGGGGAAGTCGTACTGGTCGTACTTGGGGTCGGTAGGCAACTGGGATTCTGTGGCCGCCATTGTGATGGATGGGAGGTATATGGTCGAGGGGGAAGAAGAGAGTTGTTGTTCTGGAAAAAGGGCGGGAGGCGGAGGGGGGGGATTGGCGTAAGTGGCCACTTCTAAGATAAAAAAAAAAACTTGGGGTTCCTTGGGGATCGTCCAATGTTATTTCTTATTATTGAAAAATAACAATAAAACTACTATGTCAAATGAATTTTTAGAGATTGATAGGGGCAAGACTATCGTCATTTTGCAAGTTGACTGGTTTGGTGATTTATTGGGTCATTTGGGTCCAAAGGATCGACGATATTGTATGTAGCATATATAGAATAGTTATATAGCACTTCCTGTCTGGATTCCCGACTCCGAATCTGTACTATTCTCTTATTAAATGTTCTGCTAGATGTCCTAACAACATTAGGCATATCCGTACCCAGAAAGAAGATTTCACTCAAGAAAAAGGGGCAAGCAGGCGAGGGGCAGACGTGGCGGTGTCTGAGGTGTCAGTGACGAATCCACTCTGCATGTTAGTGGACATTAGCATTTGACATATTTGATCTGCGAGAGAAGAAAATAGATATATTAGAGAAGCCCACAAGTCCCGAAATAAATTAATCTGCCTAGACGCTCCGTAGAGAAATAAATCGTTCACAACATAACATACGGGTATTCAATTCAAAACAGTTCAACATCAGCACACATCGCAAATAGGCATTATTATACACAGCGCATGAAGACCGGAGAGGCTTGGGCGGTGATGGAAACACAAAGCAGAAAGACATGCCGGGGGATTATAGGACTCGGGGCCCCAATGAAACCGGGGGAAAAAAACAAATAGTAACAACTATGCGCTGGGTATAGACATTGAAAGGAGGAGAGACATAGTAAAAGGCAAGCATAGTAGGAAAGATGGGGAAAGGACACAAAAGGATATACCAAAAATCACAGGATCATCGACATCCCCCGTACCAGCGGGGAGAGGGCCTTGATCATTCTCCATTAAGAGTATGTGCGTGTCAGCAACATTCACAAAGGGCATTCGCCCGAACTGCATGGACAGGCAGATTTCAGTCGTTGCATAGAGCAGTCATCCGATCCATTATTTGGGATGGAAAGTTATGACATATATTGGCGTCCATCATCATCGCAATATTAAGCGCCTAAGGCACGGTCGATCGTCAGGTAGAAAAGAGGACCTGACTGGCAGAGCAAATTGGGGGGGGAGCTGGTTGACCTCTGCTCGAGCTCATCATTCATCAAAAGGGAGACTTTGGGGAGCCTGGGGCATATAACGCCCTTACCACCCCTTCTTTCGTGCAAATCGTTTGTTTAGGAGTGTAAGCACCTTGGTGACGTTGAACTGGACATACTCCAGATCGAGGTCCTCAAGGTTGTCCTTTTGCATCTCCAGGAGATCGTCCAGCTTGAGATCAAGCTCCAGCAATCCACGGGCTCGTCCTAGGTAATGCGTTAGTAATGATGTTTATTTTCCCCCAAAGATTAAATCCAAGAAACTCACCCTTATAGTGCAGGCTGATGACGAAGGTCCCTGGCAAGGGACTCTTGAACATAAAGTAGATGTTCGCCCGTCGGTTTTCTGGCACATTGCTGCGTCGGATGACACCCTCCTTCTCCAGTTGCTGATGGGTGAACTTGTACGGGCCAAGTTCCTGGTTCTTTGGCGTCTTCCCGCCGCGGGTTTTGCCCTCTGACTGACTACGCACGTTGTGGAGGTAAGACTTGTATGTCTCCAGCTGGCCGACCAAGTAAGCATTGTGGTCGCGAATAGTCGCGAAAACTTCCTCGAGCTTCCGCGTCTCTTCCAGAACCTTCTCCTTGAGGGAGCCCAGGTGCACCAGCTCCTGCTCTACTTCGTCACGAAGCAAACTGAACTCGTCGGAGCGGTCAATCACGCCCATGTCTTGTAGTTGGCTGAGAAGTTCCATGGTTCGGATGCCCTTGCGCACCATCACGGCATCATTTTTCAAGGTTGCTGCAGCCTCGGCAATGCGGTCGAGGCGTAGAGGTCGACGCGCAACTGAGGTGTTCTGAGGCAGGGATCGCAGGATTTGGACAAAGGTTGACTTGGCCTCCATGAAGAACACTTCCTCCTGAGTGATGTCGAGAGCGGCTGTCAAATCATCGAGAGCGGTCTCCCATTTACTGAACAAAGGCACGGTGATCGTGCGGTTCTCCTTGCGGGGAACCTGAGGGGGAGCACCACCCAATTCTTGGAGCAGCACAGACAGGTGCGAGTATTGGTCTTGGGCAAGCGATGCACTGTGCTTCTCTAGAAGACCGTGCATAACGTACATTTCATTGAGAGTGATCTGGAGCTCAAGGTCCCGTTTCGACAAGGCCACATAGTTGTCCATTTCAAGACTCTCATAGAAATCCTGGACTTCACACAGATCAAGCAGGAACTTATTGACACGTTCTTTGTTCTGCTGGATGAAGGGCTGCAGGCTGGCCATGTAAGGTTCCTTGGCGTAGGAAGGTTTATTCGCCAGGTTCTGAATCATCTTGGCGATCAGTGTTAGGGTACGGCGAGGTCTGTCCGTGGGCGTGGCATCGATCAGCATGTAAGAGCGAGGAGTAACGATTGCCGGGTTGATGAAGCGCAGGAAGAAGAAGCCACCAATAAGAGTGCAGATGGTTTGGTCCTGGGCATCCGGATACTTTCTGCGCGACAGACTGCGAATCTGCTTGCAGATCCATCTAATACCATACGGAGCCTCGTCTACCGAGTCAATGATGGTTGTGATGAATCCGTTCGCAATATCCGTCAACATCTTCAAACGTGGGGCAATGATGGCCTGCACCTGCGCATTTTCAGCAGCATCTTCGGCGGTCACAGATCGGGCCAAGTAATTTGGGAGAGAGCCGGTTTCTTCTTCGATCTGCTTAATCATGCTTTCATAAACCTTCAAGGGGTTAATCTCCAGATCTACATCCCGCAACTCAATCAGAGCGTTGATCTGGTCTGCGAGCACCTGCTTCAAATAACTCTGGCCGGGACCACGGCGCGTGTATGTGGTCATCATGCGAGAAACTGGGGTGTTTTGGCGCAGCAAGGACGAGTACTCCGGTGTGTTATCGAACTGGTAGGTGAGGACGGACTGGAACATAGTAAGCAGAAGATGCTCTTCGCGACTCTCGTACTGGTTTCCGTAGATGGTGAACATGACGGTCTGGAGGAGGGAATCGATCTCGGCCATGGAAACGAGTCGGCATAGGTGGGCGATGTGGCGGGGTTCTGATTGCAGGAGGAAAAGAAGATTGCCGTACTTCTGGGTTCGTTCATCGTTCGGGAAGAATCCTTCCTGCGGGTCTGCGGTATCGTCGAGATGGCTGGCGACTTCATTTTGCTAGACAGAAAGATAACAGGTTAGCGAATGTGTGTCGATTTCTGCGGAATCAAAATCCTTACTTCTTCCAACGCCATTCGATTCTGGATGAGCAATGCGATTCGCGAGTCCAGGTATCGCACATCCTTTTCCAACACGAAGTTCTTTTTCGATTGCGATGAAATCCTCGACTTCAAATCCCGCAGGTGTTTTTGTGCTGTCGGAGGATTAGCGCGACCACTGGGGATAAGCCAGGATTAGACGTACCTCGTGCCAAGTCATCGGAAATCTCCAAGTCTCGATCCTTGGCGGACATGGACAGGTACAGGGCCGTGACCGACATCCGCTTGGATTGGCGAAGCGACCGAGTATCGTGCGACGACATTGTGTTCTGTCGTGCCACGGGCTGAAACGAGGAGGAAGAGGAGGAGGATGCCCGTGACTGTCTGGATGCAGGTTGTAGCATCGTCGCAACGGACATTGTGGAATTTGGGAGTGACGAGCGGTCGTCAGAGTTATGTACTGCGATGACTGCCAATGGCGAAGAGGAGAAAACGGGTCCCCAAGGGAAAAGAAGAAACACCCGTACCGAGGATGTGCAGGGGTTTTTGAGACCGAGATACGGTAGGGCGAATTAGTGTAGAAAGAGAGGAATCATCAAAATGAAGAAAGAGAGGGGGGGAGAAGGGTCAAGTAAAGTAAAGAGAGGGGAGATTATTTATTTCGTTAGTTTGCTGTTAGGGCGGTTCTGGGGAACAATGATGTGGATTTTTTGTATTTTTGTATTATTATTTTCTACTTTCATCTTTTATCTTTTCTATTATTTTATTATTTTATTATTTTTATATTCATTTTTACTGAGTATAATATTCTCTTATATAAAAAGAAAAAAATGGGAATGATACGTATCTTGGTATGCAAGGGGAGCCTTTTTTTTTTTTACCCCTGGCCCGATGCACTTCGCCACTATCAGGAACACCCTCCTTTCTGGAGATTATGGACTGGTACGAAGTAGGAAGATCTCGATCAACATCCTTGTCCTAAGGATTTGACCAATGCGCGCTAGCTCCAAGTCCTCGGACTGTGCACTATACTGTACTCGTACATCACATATAAGAGAACATCTTGACGTCAGATCTTTCTTTTGTTTTTTACCCCCTTCTTAACGGCTTATGAGAAAAGCAAAAAACAAACAAACAAAAAAACACCAAAAACACAAACAAATAAAAACGTATTACAGGAAGGTGACACGGTTTCATGTCTGCAGGGGGGTAGGGCTAATCGGTACCTGCGTCTATATTGTAAAAAGACTTGGACTGTTCAGGCTAAAACCACGAGACCTCCATGTGGATGTCTCGGGAATGTTATTTTGTACTTTGTATGTCTACTCCGTACCTAGTTATATATTGTATATTTTATCAATCAGAATGAGAATTATATGAATATGGATACAATATTCGCGTTAAACTACTCGACATAGTAAACCCAGTTTCAGGTTGATTCGGATCTGGGTAGTTAATCAAAAAGGTGATTTCCCATACCAAGTATGGCATCTCGGGGTTTGCCTTATCAATTAATTACGTGTATTCGATCTTCTCATATTCAGTACTCCGTACTTCTGGCCTCATTCTTCCAAGAGTCATACCACTTAAGTTTACTTAAGTACATACGAAGTACAATATAGTGTGCATGAATTCCTATTGTCTCAAACTATAGCGGAGTATCCTCGGCTACATCCGACATGCTTGTAGATGGGGGCTTTTCGGTTTTATTTTTATTGAAGGTTTAATATTTTCCAAGGTTAATATGAGTTAATACATATGTATCTTATATTCTCCTATCTCCCTCCATAGATGTGTCCCGGATTGAACCAGTGGGTTGGGCTCGCAGTACCAGTGGACGGTGACAACCCCTGGGAAGACCAAACTTTGAGTCTTTCCAAGGTTTGCAGATGTGGTTGCCTTTTTTATGTTATCGAATGGATAATAATATCCAGAATTGAATGAATATAATTGATATATAATATGTAATATTAAAGTGAAAGCAAACTACGGAGTATGCGGGGGTGCACTGAACCCACCTCTTTGCTTTTTTTTTACCAAAATCCCTCGACACAGACGTTATAAGTTCAAGGTAGACAGTGCATTCCTGGTCTATGCTTTTTGCTCAGGGGTAATTGAACCGAAAAAGTGGAGTTAGTGGGGGGAGAGAGAGTTCGATTCTCTCCGCGAACCTCCCCCTATCAATACATACATGCATGGAGTATGTAGTATGCATACTATGCATACTACGCACATGCAGATGTACAAAGTAGACATGCATTTTAAGATTACAGCCAAAACATGGCTACATCGCTTCACGGCTCCCTCGAAATATCATTCACATCCGGCCGATCATTCACACGGGCCAGTATGCATCCCATCCCGTCCGTTATGAAACGCGTCAAAGCTCTGTAGATCACTTGCCAACCCCTGATATGGACCATGACCCATACTCCCATTCGTGGGTACTTGCATATAAAATCCAAGTGTAATAATGTACCAAGTATAAGTACTAGACATCCATGGGTCCGTTTGAGCGATCCGGGCTTCCGCTAATTTGCTAATTCGCGCTTGGATAGGAATCCTTCCGCTTACGCCGCAATCCATGTTCGTCAGCTGCTATCGTTGCGATATAGTAGGGATCGGCAATGTCTGCATACAACATACCCATGGATGTCTTTTGCTATGGCGTACGGCATACATACTATGTACTTAAATATAATTATGTTTAATTCACAGTTATCTTACCCTCCGAATTCATTAAAGCAGATATGATTGTCGCACCATTATACCTCTTTAGGACCCGTTGAAGAAGATCACACTAAGATGTACAAAGTACGGAGTACCCATGTTCCAAGGTTGTCGTTTGCCATCCGTTGAATTTTGCTTTTTTTGATGTTTCTTTTCTTTTTATAGCGGGGAATGGTCAATGCGGAGGGGGCAATGATGTCGTCTTTTAACTCTTACCCCATACGGAGTACAACATGGACCTAGCAAACTTGTGGTCAGTGAAACACTGTCTCATTTTTACTTCGTGGCTTGGGACCTCAATGGGATTAAAGATAGACGGTACCTTGATTACACGAAACTTTCTTTTGATCGCTGAATCCAAAATAGATTTGGAATTAGAAAAAAAGAATGAACATTAATCTAATCTACAAGAATATGCACACTTTATATCTCATTGCCGAGAAGAACCTGATATTCTATACATGTACATACAAGAAGTAGAATCCCAGAGCCTCCAACTGACGCACGGGTATCGCTATGCTAACTAAACACGAAACTAAACAATAACAGGAAAGAAAACCAACCTGAACCCCATTCGTAAATGCTTTTTTGACTCCGGACCAGCCGTCTATTGGCGGAACGTAAGAGACTTGCCGGGGGTTTCCCGCTTGGTCTTCCGCGCGCCTGAGGGGGCCTCCATCGCTTTGGTGTACGGGTTGAAAGCCTTTTTGCGAGGGTGGGCGACTGTGGCAGCAGACGGTGCGTTGAGGACGGCGTCGGCGGTACCATAGTCGAAGGGAGCCTCGCTCTCGGACTTGGAGTCGGATTTCGATTTCTTGGCTTTCTTCTCCTTGCGGGACTTTTTGCTTTTCTTTTGTGTGGAGTCGGGGTCGTTGCTCGTGTCGTTGAAGTCGGCTGGGATGGAGAGGGCTTGCTCTGGGTTGTTGATTGGGGTGACCTTTCGTTTGCGAGGACCGCCGAGGTCTTTGACAGTGAAGTACTTCTTCTCCTCTGGCTCCTGGGGAGCTGGAGTAGGTGTGGGCTTGGGGACAGGCGCGGATTGTTGTGCGGTGCCGAGGTGGTCACGGGTTTCAGAGACGGTCGTCGGCATGGGTGGCATGGGAAGAGAAAGGCGCAGAGCTTCAGCGCCGGCGGCAAGCGCATATGCTGGAGGAGGGGGTGCTTCCCTGGCTTCCAAAACGTTGCCCCAAAATTGAGACGTTTCGTAGCGTTCAGCAATGGGGAAATTGGCAGCTTCCGTGGTGGCAGCCTCTAGGACCTTTGCGAGGTGTTTCGGGGGTGCCACATCGCGCCATTCCGGACCATCAATACTGGCAACCTTAGCTTGCTTGATAACCTCCAAAAGATCATGTGAGCGTTCCTTCGTAATGGGAGTCATGGGTGATAGGGTTCGGAATAGAGATCCCATATCAAGCGGCATAATGGTCGCAAGCTTGAAGAGCATATGCTTGGGGAAAACGCACTGCCAACCCTCGTCCTCAGCGCGCGCTACTTCATCACGCCATTGGTGAACAGCCTTGAAGACGGCGAATTGCTCCTTGGGAAGGTTGCCCGAATTGCGCCACAACAGATCGTACCAGCCTCCAGGGCCGTGTCCATTGACGGCATCGTAAACAGGACGTTCATAGCGTTGCAGGGCTTCATGTTTGGATCGCTCGCTAACGTAATCAATGTGGCTCGCCTCTTCAGTGGAGCTGTCGATCAGGTCGTTTCGTAGGCGGTCGTAGATGTAAAGAAGATAATGCGTATCTGATCGTGCATAGTCGAACATGGCCGGTGGAAGTGGGCGAGCCCGCCAATCAGCCGTCTGATACCGCTTATCAGCTTCAAAGTTGACGAACTTGCTCAACAGGAACTTCAAGCTTCGCTTTGGGAAGCCCAATGCAGATGCAGCGTGGAAAGTATCGAACATCCCAACCACATACAGGCCCAAGTCACGTTGCAGCCAGATGATATCCATGGTGGAACCGTGCAGGACCTTCAAGATCTTTGGATCCGCAAAAACCTCGTTCAGCATCTGCAGATCTTCTCTCCAAGGTTGCAAGGTATCCACAACCCAATCCTTGTCCCGGGTGCTGATTTGCATCAAAGAGACAAGACCGTGGTAGGAGTGGACATCGTGGTGCTCCAAATCGATAGCGATTTCCTTCGCTTTCTTGAGCTCCTTGAGCATTTCCTTGACTCCATCCAAAGTATCGACGAAAGTAGCCGTGGTGCTCTCAAAAGGCAGGTACTCAACCGGAGGGGAGACCTGGTAGACCGGCTTCGGGTACTCCGAAGCAAGAATCTCCGCCTCGTAGGGGTGAGGATAACCAATTCCACCTTCCATCTTCTTCGTCTTCAAGCACTTCTCCAACGGCACAATCGCATGCGGCTTAGACTTGAGAAGAGGCTTGAAGGGGCCCGTATCAGTGTTATCCGGTTTGCGATCGAACAGCAATTGCGGCTTGGGAATCTTGGAGGGGCCATAGTCGTAAATAGTCGGGAAGTTGGGCGCTTTTTTGATCGGTGCCTGTTCTTCCTGCGAAGGGCTGAGCTTCTTAATCACGCCTGTGAATTCATCCAAGCAGGCATCGGCCTTTTCCAAAAGCGAGTCAATCACATCCACCACGCCACGCCAATTGTCCTCGACGGAATCCTCATCGTGAAGGGTAGGTCCCGTCACGTCGGTGCCGGCGGTGGCAGCTTT